CCTGCCTCTTCTGCCCTGCCCATCCCTCCTGTAGAGCCTTTACCCATCCAACAGATCACCTCAGTCACAGGTTTAAATTATGCCAATAATATCAGATCTCTGGGATGGGGCCAAAGTATTCTGTTTTTCTCCTTCATGCCATGTGCATTATTGTAGAAACAAACCATGTGTGGTACATTGTAGCCAACACCTCCTGAAGCAGATTGAGGGATCCTATTAGAAGTGGTTTCCTCAAGCTCCTCAGGTTTTGACACACCATTGTTCATCACTGGGAAGCATGGTTTTCTCTCTCTCCCTCCCAAGATAGTTTAAAGCTCTGTCAACAAACTGCAGTGGCTCCTGTGTACACTTTTAAAAAATGTATACATATATCCATAAATATATATATAAATATATATGTGTATGTGTGTGCACACATATATATATATACACAAACACACATATATATGCACACACAGTCAGGAAGCAGTCTTTTCAGGACATTAGCTCTTTGCTACCACCTGCCTGGAGTTTACAGAGGAAAGAGGGGGTTTTCTCAAGACCAGTTCCGCTGAGAGGAACATCTCAAATTCTTCAGAGAAGCGTGATATGATCGGGTAAGCAAAAACCTATTTCCATTATATAATCTAAAAAGTGGCTACTAGTCTATAAAAATAAATATTGGGTGCTGCTATTTCTTGCCTTTTAAATAAAGATAGTGTGTACCATCCTGGGGATTTTAAAATAATGGTTTTAAACCAGCTTTTTTCAGCAAACCAAATATTGGATCAGTCATGCTACAATAGGGGAGGAGAGCCTGCTGTGAAAGTGTGTCACTTTAAAATAGTGCAGAGCACTCTAGGGCAAATAAAACTACAGTAAATCAAAAGAGTTCATCTATTATGGCTACGTATTCTACAGCAGCCTCAGTTCAAGCCATGCTGGTAGTTTTTCTAGTGCCTTAAATCAAGCAGCAGGTATTTGTGGCCTGAAGTAAAGAAATGCTAAACATCTGCCAGTTTCCATACTTGAAACATCGCAGCTGCCTTACCTGAAGGATATTTTTCTGTTAGTGTACCAGGAATCTCAGTACTATTGTCATGTGGCATTTTCACTATGAAATACATCATTGTCATTTCACAAAATGTTAAACAATTCCCTCTCCCAAGGATCCAGTTTTAAGTAATTTACAAAATATTTTAATTATCATATTTTTCAGTTCCTCATATTGGACACAAATGCACGCGATTCAGTTTTACTTTTTAACAGACTCAAGACTTCTCTTGACAGCTGGCAGTTTCAGTGAGCAGTTCAGCAGTCCATTCATCCAATCTGTAATGGCACTATTCTTGCTGACATGTGCTTTGGCCTATGAGAAAGACTTACAGATATAAACATAATGAAATAAAACTAATCATCCCTCAGAACAAATATTTAATTTCTGAATGTTAATGGTCTGGTACTTACGAGCACAAATTACTTAAGACTTCTGTCTTCCCCTCATCATCAGATACTCCCAATGCCAAAGAGAACAAAGGTTTTGATTGGTACTGGACCCATGAAAGAGCTGATGCAAATCATATTTTATATAACTTCCAATTGCTGGTTGCATTTCCATAATTTATTGTACCTTCTACAGTTCTCTACTCTGTTTTCCCACTTTACAAATTTTTCTTCCAAAGTTCAAGTCTTGCAGCATTTCACATCCTCATCTATCTCTAAGAGCAATATCAATTTGGCAGGCTGCAATGCATATTGCAATGAAAATCTTGGAAACCACTCTGTTGTGATCAATCAAGATACACTTGAATCTAAGAATATCAGTAATTGTGTGGAAGTCATAAGGATTACTGTGGGTCTTGTTAAAGTAGTTGTACTTCGTGCATATTCAGTGAGGCACCATAATAATCTTCAAAAGGTGCCCTGAAGATTGTCCTGGGGGGCAGAATGAGTCATGAAGACATAAGAAGCACAATCCATCCTTAGACTGGAAATTCATTAATAAACCTTGGACTCAGTGATCTTGGTGGTCTTTTAGAACCTTCATGATTCTATGATCATGGATGAACAGCAACAACCAGGACACCAATATCTGAAGACATTGCTTTTGCTCAGGGAAAGCAAAATGCACCAAAAAAACCCCAAATGTGTCTTTTGTGTATGTTCTTAAATGAACTAAGGAGTTTTGGATGTCACTTTACCTTCTCAAATGACCCTGCCAATTTAATATCTAGTCTTGCCTAACAGCCTTTTCCTTAGGAAGTAAAAAAAGGAAAGAGGGAGCAGGATTTTAAGCATAACTGTTGTGCTCTCAGGTGTCTCAAATCTTACATATCACAGTAGCATGTTTCCATCAATATTTCCACTTGTAAAATACCCCAAATATAAAAAGAAAATGTATTAAAAAACCTCTAATATGTTTCCAGGGTAGAAAGATTAAAGGAGACTCTCAGTCTGGGGACATCTCTTTGAAAAGTCTTCTCAGTTTCCCTGAGAAGCCACCTGTGGTGAGAACTGTCCAGAGCAGGAGATAACAGAAAACACCTTTTGGAAAGTGTGTAGAATGAGATTATATCACCACACTGTTTAAAGGGGGGGAAAAAAAAAAAAAGCTAATTAGGAATTTTGAATGTAGGGTGTTGTAGTTCTCCCCCGAGCTGGCCATAAGAAGACGACTGTGGCCTTTTGTCTGAGTGTAAAGCTTGGCAGCACACGGCGGAGGGAGAGGCTGCAGCTCCGGAGAGCCCTGCTGGGCGTGTTCAACCCATTCCTGGGACTGCACCGCCCCCTGCTGGCCCCAGGCACAGCTAAATGATGGACAGACTCGGGTGGCTTTAATAAATTTATATATTTACATAATGTATCGCTGTACAAGGGAGCTTTCATCAGAAAAATATCTTTATTAGGGGAAAACTGTCAAAAATACTTCTTTTTAAACAAAGTCTACAATTCCCAGGGACATTTTACTCCATTTCTATTTTACAACAAGCTGTTTTTCTTGTTCAGGTGCTAATTTGAATCGGACTTTCCCACCTTAATTAATAAATAAAATATTTACAGTATCGGTGCTGCTGAGACGCTGGGAGTTAATAGCAATAATTTAGCCAGGCTTGTTAAGGAATGCAGGATCTCACACTAGAAGCTTTGCAAACTTTTGTCAAAATACAGCTGGTAGCACTGTTATTCTATTTACTAAGGAATATGATTCACCTAGATTAGATGTCTGATGTGCTTTTAGAAGTACCATCTGGAAAAACATTAGCATATTTTAACATGTCTAGGGTGAAAGCAACAAATCACTTATTTCTCCTGGGCCTTCCAATTCAGCAGCAGATTATGGCCATGCATACTTAATACCAGGGCAAGTTCAACCCTGCTTCAGTGGCCCTCTGCCTCCGCTCTTTGGCTCATTATCTCAGAGCTTATTTTCAACTATTATAAGTGTAAATCAGTGTGGGGGAGGGTCTGTCATGCAGTGATTATGTGAAAGTACAGAAATGCAATCAATCTTTAGGGCCTCGCTGCATGAAATGCTGAATATTCTCAGTTTCCTTTGGCTCCTCCCTGGGGCTTCAATGACAGAGAAAATCACACAAGATGAAAATGTACAAGAGGGAAAGTGTCTGATCTGGAAAACAAGCAGGTATTTTTATTATTATAGAGAATCTTAGTGTCTTTAAAGCTGTGAAAGGGAAATCTTAATTAAGGATTTGATCACAAAGCACTTGATCCTATAATGTTCCTCTGGTTTCTGTCAAGAGCAGCTAACACCTCACAGGAACTGTAAATATCTTGTTGAGCCATATATTTAATGTGCAGTGCTGAGGTATATTTTGGTATCTGTGAATTTCTGGGTTGAGCAAGTGATGACTAAAAAAACAGTATTTGTAATTTCTCTACAGGAAGCTCCAGTGAAAAGAGTACTGAAGCTTGTGGTATCAGCCCAGTACTACCCTCATAGCCACATCCTTTTCTTCTTGCATTTCCTTGTCTTTCCCTTGAGAAGGGCCTTCTTTCTGATGCCAGTCAGAAAGGTGCTCAGATTCTATAAAGGACCTCTTAGGGTCCTGATTTTTTGAGACCACACCAAAAAGCAAAGGAAGAGAGTAGAGTTAACCATAAGAACCTTCAGAGGCTGGGAGCCTGAATGGGTCTCTGACCACAGCCCAGCACACCCTGCAGTTTCCACCCATGTGAAATTACCCCATTTTGGTCACTGGAACTCTTACAGGATTTTCCCAAAGAAGGCAACTCTGTTCCTCACTTCTGCTGTCAAACAGAAAGGATGTCCACCTGAGAACTTGCTGCTAAATAAAGGTGAGGCCCAGCAGGGAGTGCCATCACCAAGCATGTACCAAGCAGAAGGTGCTGATTTGTTCCTGTGTGGCACAAGCAGCAGGCAGCACATGCAGCACAGCACAGCCTGCACTTACACATCCATATATAGTAACAATATTAACCACTTGCACAAATTAAATATTGAAATCCTTTTTAAGAGAATGCTAAAATCAGACCAGCATAACATTTGCCCATGCCCTTTTATGGTCTTATCAAACTTAATACTCTGAATTGTGAAGACATTGGACAAATAGAAAATGTAAAATTTATATATCTTTTATGTGAAAAGCAAAAAGGGAATTAAAAGCCTTTATCAAGATATTAAAAAAATAACTTGATTCAACAGCCCTCTGAATTGAGATTTTAAATTGCCTCAAGCAGACAACATGTGAAATGTTGCTGCAAGGCATCATGTGCTACAATTTGAAACATCAATGTCGAATTAGAGGTGGAGGGAAAATTTCCAACACACCAAGTCTTTGATTTTAAAAAGATGCTTCTTGTTTTGTACATTTTTACTTAGCTAAACCAGATCATCTAGGTTTTTCTACTATCCTCTCAGTTAAGAAAAGTGATGCATAATTGCATACATGTCTGTAATCAGTACAGCATGTTCTACTTAAATTATTAAAAATTAAATTTTGAAATAAAATAAAAATTACACCACTATTGAAATAATCAAGTAGAGCAGAGAAGCATATGACTATATTTCTCATAGAACAATAGAATAGCTAGAAGTATCCTGGAAGGTATCTGACCCAGACTCATGTTATAAGCAGTCACAGAAGAAAAAGCTCCAAGGTGGCAAAATGCTTTCATTCTCACAGTTACAGGTGCCACCAATATCATTACTGGATCCTAGTGTTACAGAAAAGAAGTTTGAAGGGCTCTCTTCAAAAACTGATTATGTTCTAAGAATGACAAAACGTGAAGTAAATGCAAAAAAACTGAAAAAACATCTGAGAAAAAGATATGAAGTCATGTATATGTAACACTTCAGTATGAGGTTCGTTTCTTCAGAAAACAATATTAAAGTATCCTTTTTTTCAGTCTTCCTCTCAATCTTTATACAGCTCTTCATATTTTAGTTTAAATGCATGTAAATACATATCTCAGTTAATTCTGAGAGATTTCTTGTGAAGTTCATTTAGTTCATAACACAGTTCTGCTGCTGCACTAAAATTGGAAAATCTTGAGATCAAATTCAAATTGAGTCCCCAGACGTCTGGAAAAACAGCTAAATCATCTAGGAATCTGACTTTTGTACCAGCAAACCACATTCTAGAATGCATTACATTATTGCTGCTTACATTAAAAGTCCTCTGAAACTGCTAAGTATAACTAATAGTATTTATTCATATTAGGAGTTATACTTTAAAACAGCTATCAAATATAATAAAGGAAGACTCTGCTTTGGAATCTTTTTCTCTTTGAACTATCAGTCTGTGGTGTAGAGCTGTAGTCTGTAAAAATAACTTCAACTGCCAAATTTTTATAGTAGATTAAACTTAGTGAATATAGATCTTTATATGTCACCATGCAGAGCACAATTTTAAGAATTTTTAACCAGTTTTGAAGCACTATAGTGTGCTTCCTTCCTGCACCTTCTTTTTGGAATTTGCAGTCTCTTCATCTTTGGATATTCCAGTTGATAATTTTCTTATTTCCCTTTAGGTGTTTCTTTTTCTCCTTTTTTATTCACTTCCATGTCTTCTTTAGTCTGCTGTTAAAACAGATATACACAAAATTCTGTGCATAATTTATTAAAGTAAAACTACATGCTCCTTCAGAAATATTTTAAGAAGTAAAATTTCAACATGAAAGATGAGATAGAGGTTCTCAGCTTTCAAGGCAGCTGTAAAATGTATGAATGGTTTTTAGGATATCTTTCAAACATTTTGTAGTCTGAGTCCTTTCATGGATTCAGATTTCAGCTGGTTATTATTCAGCCGTTGCTGAAGCTTCACAAACAATCCAGCAGAGAAACAGATAGATCAAACTCATATGGTCTCTACTGTGTTTGCCTTGTGCTAAAATCCAAAACCTGCCTTTTGTATCACTTAATTTTAGTGTAAACATTTTGCTTTAATATAAATATTGTTATAAAAAAAATAGAAATCACAGGTTATTTATTCAGGCAAAGGTACATGACAGAAAACAAAACTATAAACTGCTCTTTCAGCTATTCAGGATTGATCAGTCTTGCAGGTTTGGAATGAGGAAGTTATACAAGCACTTTTACATTTTTTAGGTGGGCACAGGCATACCAATTCTTATAAAAAGACTAAATTGTAACCATTTCTATCAGTTACCTGAGTGGTTATTTTAAATTTAGAGAACTGTTTTGCTTGTGGATTTCTTTTCCTCCAAGCTGGTGAATTAGAAGATCCTGAAGTATATTTGCCTGTAGGGAAAACATACACATTGTTTCCTAATTTCAGCCACAATTTCAGGAAAGACTCCCTTAGTCTGATATGTAAATTAAATATTACATTGGCTGAAGTTTCAATGAATGCATCAGGTGAGTCAGACATTGCATCTGAAACATGAGCTAGTATTAAAGGAAGACTCTCCCTAGAACTTTAAAGATAATTTGCAATATTGTAGCATTTCCATGAGGCTCATGTGATCATCCAAATGAGGAGATTCTGCTATGGACATCCTTGGTTTTAACAAAGGGAGTGTTCCTAGGCTAAAGACTGTCTCAAATATATCAATAGCTTCTGTTTTATCCCTGCCTGTGAAAGCCCTATATACAAGGCTATATTATGTTTTTGTGCTAGACAGATCATTGTGCCTCAGAATATACTGCTTAATCACCATTAAAGCATTAAACCATTTTCTAAAAAAACTGATTTAAAATTAATATTCTTAATATTCTTCTTTTAATTCCATCTTAATGTGATTAATTAAAAGTATTAATTACTTAATAATCCTACAATTTTCAGTTTATAAACAATGTGAAAACATTACCATAGTTTTCTGTCTGTGTCCAAAATCTCCTATTGTTGTCAGGCTGATTCTTTTGTTTGGAGCTTTTCTGACCATAGGATTCAGGTACTACTGGAAAGAAAGGCAGCAAAAATGTTAATGATTGTTCTTACAACAAAAATGTTGATTCACATTTTTTCAAAAATGTTCTATACTTTTTTAACCTAGAAATTTAATAAAATGCATTCTCACATAAAGAGTGTTCTCTCTATAATCCCTATACCACCTTGTTCACATTTAATGAAAGCAAACAATCAAAAAAAGAAAAAAGACACAACTACTTGTCCTCAAGACAAAACACCAATGTTGGAATTTCTTTCACTTTACTTTATTCACCTTAAAGTAGGCATTACTCTGTCTGAAGGAGGTCCCTGTTATTAGAAATTAAGACAAGGAGGCACCTCAAAATGGAGAATGAACCCAGCTTAAGAGAGATGACTGAAATTGGCAAGATAAAATCACTTTTTTGATTTCTGATTATATAAATTATTTACCATTAAATCTGTTGACAAAGTGACAAATGGGAAAAAAAATTATTCAGAGAAGTCATGGACACAGCAACCGAAAATTCAAATAAAGCCCAAATGATGTACTAAATTGGGTGAGGCTATATGTATTAGCAGAATAAAAATAAAGCAAAAGATGTAATAAATCTGAAGCACATTGCCAGAAAGAAAGATGCAAGACTCAGAATCCCACCTGTAAGTTTCCTGTCAAATTAATGACATAGCATGTACCATCAAGAAGACAGTAGAGTAAGATGAAGGAAAGTACCATCCTTTATGAACAGCAGAAAGAATAGATTCAGTCCTCTGTCCAACATAATTTATGTGAAAAAAATAATACTAATGTTAAATACAAAGATTTACACTGCATTTAAATTAATAACAGAAGTGTGAATAAGACCCAAAACCTTGTTTATTCAAAACAAAAAAATAATCCTAAATAATGAAAATAAACACAAATCCATAAAAATGAAAACTCCAGTGAAATCTCAGTTATGGAAATATATGCTGCAAAACAAAGTCATTCTTTCATATCCTACATGAAAAATAAGATTGAACAAGAAACATTTCTTGAGACACAACTAAAATTCTACTGCAAAAAATACTTCTACTATAAGCAGTTAGAATAAAATAAGAGCTTAAAGGTGGAGTTTTCAAGGTTTATTAACTATTTGAAGAGAATAAGTCACATAAGACATGCTGTAAAAACTGGGAATCACTATATTTGTGCACATCACCATTTCATTGCATCCATGAATTCCTGCTGTAAATTCATGGATGCAATGAAATGTAAAAAATTGTGGCTCAATTATTGTTCATGAATATCCTGTCCAACAAATTGTAAAGCTTTATAAATCTTTACATTTCTGTCTACAGACATGGCTGAAATCTACTTGTGAAAATTATACTTGATCAAATTTAGTCATGGTTGTATTTAGGCATTAATAACTTATTATTCACCTGCAGGGACCCAATTGAATGCAGTACATAAACAGGCATTTTAAGAATTCTGTGTACACAAAAACCCACCTGTAGATCCATTGAATTTTGGTTTTTGAGTGACAGTCCGGTAGACTACATAAGCTGATCGTCGAGGTTCTGGAGAATTTAAATGAGTGTATCTTCCAGTTTCTCTCCCATATGGACTCAAAGAAGCAGTTTCAACATCCTTACTTTGACCCCTTTGTTGATAACTTGGTTTTATTTTGGGGTCTGGAGTATGAATTCCTAAAAGTGAAAATACAACCAAAAGGGTTGTCCTATCATTCAGAATTGCACATAGTGCAGGCAAATGGAGACTGAATAAGCTTTGAAGATAAACCAGTCCAAGTATGGGATGTCCATATTTGACACTAAGAACAGAAATTTCCTAGATAGTGCTAAATCATCTCACAATTTAGTAAACGGGAATTAATAAACTGATGTTTTTTTCAAAATACCTTTGCCAGTTACTACATTAGCTGAATTTCTTCGTTCCTCAGAAATCCTTTTATTTTCCTTTACTTCCTTACAGTGGTGGTTCTTTACCAGTTCAGTGTGGTTTGTTTCTGAGGGATTAAAATGACACATATTCACTTTTTCAGAATGCACAAAAAGTGTTCATAGCCAAGAATACTGTGGTTTGTTTTGAAAACATAATCTCCTGCTTCATAAATAGGTCCCTTTGGGTGGAACATGGTTTCACATGCTAATTACTGTAAAAGTGTAATTCCCCAGAAGGAAAGCAGAAGTGTCTATATCTCCTCTAGCAGAAGAAATCTTCAAGGCCAACTCAAAGATTAACTCTAAATTCAAAAATCAGATCATCCTTTCTCTACACTGCATAGGTGCGGACCTCTGGAACACCCATGGCTGAGCCCATGGAGACCAATTCACACACTTCAAAGGATGCCTGACTGAACTGTGAATGACTTCTACCTGTAGCACCTGGATACACCCTGAACATGTGCAGTGCATGAACATAACAAAACACTACAAATGATGGTGATAAATTAACAACAGCACTAGTTGCATAGGTAAGCCCACTTCAAACTACAAACAGAACTTCATTGGGAAAGTTGCATTGTACAGTAACCACAGAGCTCTTTTCCTGGCCCTGCTTCTCTTTGGGAAACTGAGGATTTGCTCTCCCTGTTTTCCTGCTAACGTAAACAAGCACTTGTGGTTCCTCTCATTTCAGATCAAAATCTGGCAGAAATTAAAAAGAAAATGAAAAGAAACTTCTGCTTCAGTTTATGGGGTACTTTAAAGACAAAAATCTGTCCTTTTTTCCCCTTTAAAACTGCAAAGAAATAACTGGATAACAATGTGCTCACAATAAAATTTTATACATTGACAAATACATTCTGGAATTCTCCTGTGAAAAGGTTGAAACTTATCATTAAGGTACTTTGGTGTAGGGATTTTAATTTGCTGTGCATGACTAGTTTTTGATAAACACACTTTATCACAAGTGTTATGGTCTTAACTATATTTTTACTGGTTTTATTAAGTCCTCTGTTCTGGGAGATAATAACTACAGTCAAATCTGTTTTACTTGTCTGAAGTGGAAAATGCACAGCACTCCCCATGATCTAACGTGAGCATCAAAGACTTTAGTAACTCAGGGACTCATAATTGAATCTATCAGAGGATGCAAACTAGCTGAAAGAAGCAGAATTAAACCATAACATACAATTGCTGTCATCTTGCATTGAAAGAAATCACTCTGTTAATGGAAATTTCACTTCAGGTTGGTTTTACACAAGATAGATAATGTTCACCACACTTGCAGAGGAATAAAAGTAATCTAATCTAAAAATATGCAAATATATAATAATGAAGTACCTTTCACATTGGGATACTTTGATGTAATTGGTTCCTTTTCCCGAGGTAGTGCCTCAAATCTGTTCCCATCAACAAATGTGGTCCTCTGCATCACAGAACCACCACCTCCTGTAGGAAAGGAGTCTCACAAAGTTATCTGTACTCAAGAGCACCTTGAGAAAGGTGAACAATGCAAACAGTCTGCTTTTTAAATGGCATGTTTTTAGCTGGAGTAGAAAAACACAATGAACACAATGAAACCAAATAGCTGATTTAATAAGGCCCACAAAAATTAGAGAAAATGGTCTGTTAAACAGAGTTGTTAAATAGTCTATTAAAAGCTTTAAATATATATAATTGTGAACAGAGATTCAGTTATTGAATTGTGGCTCAGTGGTAACTGTTTATACAGACATAAAAAATATACAGACATAAAGTATCTTTCTAAAGATACTTTTGTACATAAAGGTCACAGGAAAAGATGCAGACTAAAAGATACATTTCTACTCTGCAATAGTTCTGGAGCTAGAAGACACACATCAGTTTGGTCCAAGCTAGAGCAAGCAGCCCTGCTTGCATGGTATTGCACTATTTTGCATCTACAAATAGGAAAATAGGGGGGGAAAAAGAATACTACAATTATTACTATTTTTATCATTAATAATTATTTATAAAAAAAGGATTGAATACCACTAAGTATCAAGGAAATTCAGGAGAATGGGGCATTATTCAGCTTTAATGACAGGATTCAATGCAGAACTCAATTGCTCAAAATAGTATGTTTGCATTATGGTCAAGCAAGTTTATGCAAAGGGATATTTAACATTAAATAAATTAATTTAACAGATTAACAGATCCATTAAACAAATTGCAGGATTGCAGCTTCGTTATTTTTCTGTAGGATAACTGAAAAATACAAAGCTTATTCACCTTAACTACGGATAGTCTCACAAAAGTGACAGTTTTTGAAGGCATTTTCACTTCAGACAGTCACAGAATCATAGTCACAGAATATAAGAGTTGGAAGGGACTCACAAGGATCATCAAGTCCAGCTCTTAAATGAATGGCCCATACAAGGATCAAACCCACGTCCTTGGCATTACTAGCACCAGGCTCTAATCAGTTTGTCTGCATCTCTACACATGCTTTTTCATAACTCCACAGAACCCTTTCTTTCCCAAAATCAACTGTAATCTGCATAAAGGATTTTGTCCTGTGCAATCCTAAAATAAGCATAATATATAATCATAAACAATGAGTTTTATTGTTAAAACTAATGGTTCAGCATGAGATAGAGTGTCTAGACCATAAAGATCATATAATAACTCAAATGCAAAATGGGGAAGTTTAATGCATGCATATTTAGTTATTTACCACATGATGTTCAGCAGTGAGAAGCTGATGCTACAGTATATTACCTCCATTCTCAAAGGATTTCTGATCTGTTCTGGGAATACTCTCTATTGATATTCTCCTTTCTGAACTCTCTTTTTCTTTCCTTGTATTATTAAATCTTGTAGGAATTGTGTTACCATCACCTGGAAAGGCAACAGAATGATTAGCTGTGTGTAAGCAGAGGTAATGGCACTGACACTCTCTCCCACCCCTATGAGCCAATGATTACTTTAGTGCAATTTCTCTTAATCTCTCATTTCATAACCTTCTTTCTCTTTTATTATTTGAATCCTATCTAGTGTAACTGATGTTTATCTTTCATGTTCTGTAAGAAAATATCATAATTCATAGGCTAAAAAACTATGACTACAAAGTAAAGACCCAGCTATAAATTACCTGCTTATTCATGAGCTTCTCACTACCCATGAATTATATTTATTAATCCTATCTAATTGAATTTATGGCATTTTCAGAATGCATATCATTATAGTAGCTGAAGCCTCAGAAAACTCAATAGAAAAACTGTTTTTTGGAAACATATCTGTATTTTTCTCTTTATGCATCTAATGATAAACAATGACACTTCTTAAAGGGTATGTTCACACATTTGTCACTGAGTCTCTCATCTACAGTCTCAGAGTCTCTCATCTATGTATTTGTTAGAAATAATTTATCCAAACTATTTTAATAACAAACATTTCAAATTTAGAAATTAGAAGAGAGTAATAAATGAGAAAAGTTTGATTTAACACTACATTTCAACATCAAGACACCCAAGATAGCCAGCAGAGATCATGGAGCACCTCTGGAAAAGTGGCTCATCTCACCCTTTGGCACTGCCTGGTGATTCAATAAAAATGAGATTCATTTGAGCTCTTGTTTCTCTCTGTTTTCACCAGACAGACTAGATGAGAAATTTAAACTACATTCCTAACCTTAGGATGGTTAAACTTAGACTACATAAACCTTTGCCATGAAATTATATGAAATACCTATATTGTATGTGTCAGGAAAGTACAGATTGTGTTAGTAGCCCATTTCTACCTTTTCCATCCACAACTGATGCAGGACATCCCCACGAGTGTGACTATATATATGGCAAAAAATAATGAAGTGTTTTTGTAATTTGCTGACAAATACAAATATGTTTTTTGTAATATTTTATTTTCACTAAATTTAAAAAGTGGGGAGGAAGTGAAAACTATGTAATAGTTTCTCCCTATTACAGCAATTTTAGAAGTGGTAAATAGAGTCCAAAGAAATCAAAATACTTGCCTTTCTGCAAGTTTTGTTCAGTAGTTTCCAAGGGTAATAACTCATCTTGCCACAGTGAAGACACAGTTTTTGTCGATTGGTGTTTGTAAGGGTTCTGAATCCCATAATACTCTCCTATACATGCCCCAAGAGGGGAAAAAATAAAAAGGCCTAAAGTTTACTGTATTGGAAGCATTGCCTTCAAGGAAAGAATGATTAATTTCATATTTACCAGATTTATAGCATATATCCCTTATTGCTCTTTCCTCTTCAATATCTAAAACAGTCTTAGGCATCCAGTTAGAAACATCTGCAGGAAATATTTGTAAAAGATTACAAGATAACTATAAACAGACTTTCAATAATTCTTAATAATAAAATATGATAATGACTTTTTTTTTTGTCATTGATTATTTTTGGTTTTGACTGCAACCTGTGCTTTTGGACTGAAAAATTATGATTTAATATCAGGTATATTCAAGTGTGATGGGATTGCAGTTAAAACACATTTTAATAAACAAATGTTTGTTAACTCAAAAATATTCCAAAATATCTCAAATATTCATTTTCAAAATAATCTTTCATTTATACCAACCAGAGAGTGCTTATCACAAAACCAGGGCCCAAATTACTGCCATGTAATGCCTGTTGACAGAGCAGATGAAGTGAGTGCTCCAGATCTCTCTCAGTTAAGGTTATGAGGATTAACAAAGCCCTACTTTCTATATTGTGTAAGTGTAGGCTGAAACCAAGTTAGGAAGCACTGACAGGCTGGCCTACCAGACAGCCTGATAGGCAGTGGGGAAGTGAAAAGTGGTTGGGGCAGCACAGTAATTTGCTGAATGTATGCCTGAAAGCAGATCATTCTCTCATTTGTCACCCTCCAGGAATGTGTCATTTGTTCCATCCCTATGAATGTCTTATCTCTAAGTGAGATACAGTCAATGGCTTAACTGTATTAACCTGTGTGTATATATATATATATATATGTATAAATATTCAGCTCAACTAATGGAGAGTTTTACATCAATTCTCTTTGCTAGATTTAAGAATAACTTCCTTTAAAAAATAAGACTGTCTACACAGTTTGGTAAATCAGCTGAAAAAAATTACTTAAGTTAAAGCCACACAAGCATCTTTTGTAAAAAAACTTGAGACTTCACCTTTAGTGACGAGTGCATACAGCCCTTGTTCAAACACTTGTTTGCCAGAAAAAAAGTACCTCCTAAACTTGCAATTTCATTCCAAAATTTTGAATTGTTTTTGATGGCCATTTGAATTGGATCACAAGTGTTAGAAAATACTACCTTGCTCATATCTGGTGACTACCAGTTCCAACATTTTAAGGATTAGCTGAAAACTAGTTCCAAAAACTTTTCAACAACCCTTTTCTAAAAATGTAATGGTTATCATAACAAATCAGTTGTGAAGTATATTGCAAGAGCTGACAAAACCCATTCAACTTGCTTATAAAAGGAAAAAAGAACTGTTTACAGTTGTCTTCTTCATCATCATCCTCGTCATCATCCTCTTCATCATCCTCTTCATCACTGAGGTTTATAATCAGTGGAGGGTGAATTGGTACTAAAATATTCTCTTGACTTCTGAGTGAGTCCTGACGATGGGCTGGATGCAGAATGCCTCCTTGGCCATCCTGTTTCAATGGGACATCATTTTCATCACTGCACTATTTTAAAAATTTGCAAATATGCGGTATCAATCCCTAGAGCATCTGCTTCAAAGAATTTAGCAATGCTAAGCATAGAATTGCTCATTTTAAATTTGAATACATTTTATTATCAAATATATCAAATATCAAACTAAATCTCAGCTTTCATTACTAGGTACAACATGTAGATTTTGTGAGAGAATTTGAAGTTCACAAAAATAATTTACACCTAATCAGAAAAAAAATCAGAAAATAAATTATTTTCCGGAGGAATTTATCTCCACACATAATATTTTCAGCAAAATGGCTTTAGTATTGAGATAACATTTTCCAAGAGCCATTGTATTAATTGACTAAAAAGAAAAATTATGAAAGATGGTGTGTCTATGGGTATTGTTCAAGCTGACTACCTTGCAACTATACTATTCTGTGTATTATATTAAAAATAAAATAAATTAAATAAATAATAAAATAAATTAAAAATAAAATAAAAAGTTGGATATACCTTCCAGTCTAAAAGAAAGTGTGGGCATTTTTCAATTATTCCAGTTGTTTTTAATCTTGTGCATCTCTTGCTTGCCTATGAGCAGCATGTGTATCATGGTGAACCTTTTCTTAAAACATGGTTGCAAATCAGATTTGTTGTATCTCATGTGAGAGACGTAAATGATACAACACTAACTTGATGGAGCCTTTTTCACTGTTCAGAACAGGCTATTTTTAGCTCCAGGTAGAATAAACCAAATCAAACTTAAATTTGTTTAACAAGATTTTTAAGTATAAGAATGAAAAAAATTTTAAAAAGCACATTTAGTATTTACAGTGCTATTGTGGTGTACACAGGCTTTGAACTTGTACATATTTCAGTAAAAAGGAAAAGGGTTTAGTCTGTTTTCTAGCTGTGATTGTCAGACATTGCTCTTACACAGGATACCCTTGCCCACAGTGTCTTTTGGCTAGTCTCTGACTTGCACCACAGCCAAAAACATGCCTGTGCTGTGTAAATGGGAGCTGTGCTGAAGGCAGCATAGGCATTCAGAAAAACAGGTCTTGTCTTGATCCTGTGTGCTTACTTAGGCTCCATGTGCCCAGATATGACAGGCTACATTTTCCTGGGGCAATTTCAGGAACACCAGGTTTCACAGTGACTTGCTCTCCTAACTCCTGCTTCTGACATGTGTCTTTGTTCTTTGCCCTGGACTCTTACCCTATTTCCAGGTTCCAGCTGTCTACCAGAATTTCTGGTAGTCAAGAGCTCCTCTTAGAAATGGATGAGGGAAAAAACCCAACTTGCAATGGTGTAGTTTTCCACAAATAAAAGAGTGCTGCTTTATACATTATTACTGTACTTCAGTAACATGTAGCCAATGTTCAAGCCCAAAAATTTTATTCAAAACAACGATCTGGAAATGTATCTGCACAAACAGCTCTGGAATCTCATGTTATCTACAAGGGGCATCTCATCCATACATGTTGTGCTCTATCAACAGATACCAGTGTCCCTACAAACCTCCTCTTCCCACCACACACACTACTTTTGATTTCTCTTAAAAGTATGACCTGCATACTAACCATTTGAACTACTAGAGAGATTTAATCTATCAGAAATTCAAATTAAGCAACATTTTTATTCTATGGATCTCAGCAACCTAAATGTGACTTCATCTTTTTTATCACTAAAAGGTACGAAGATTCATAATATGACAGCTAAAATAATTCATGTGGCAATCTTATTCAAATTCCTTTCTTTCCCTTAAACTTGCTGGGATAGAAGATCATACCTCATTGATTTGCCATGGTGCATTTCTTGACCTTACATAAGCACTGGAAGGGCATTTTTTTCTATTCCGTTACTCTAATGAACAAATTGTCGAGAAAATATTTTTACTCACTGTTACTAGGTGGCAAATAAAGTCCATTTATATTACGGGGTTTTCTGTGAAAGAAGTCACAGCTTATCCTCCTACAGCCTACGGGCTCTGTCTCCCAGAAACAGGAGAACTTGCTGTAGTTTTGCTGCAGGAGAAAACAATTTTCAGGTGTTGTAAATATAACAATCAAAATGGAATAAATAGATCAGTATATGCTGTGTGACTGAATATATGACAGTTCACACTGCTATAAACATATGACCAAGATTTTGTGGGACCACATTCTTATAGCTTACAACATTTCAAATTATCTTTTATGACTTTTATCATAAGCTCTAGATACCTCTCAAGTCATTGAGTTAGGTCAAACAGTCTTCGGTGATGCAAAATTGTTTCTAGATTAGAATAAGGGTAAGACAGTCTACTTAGCTTACTGCAGACTTTTCATGAGCTGCCAGGAAGGAAAAAAAAATCTCTTAAGTCATTTAATTAACATGTCACTGAGTTTACTTTCTGTACAATGGAAAAATCATGTCAATCTCCAATGAAATGTGCTGTATGAGTGCAAATCTTGCACCAGTACTGCCTTACTATTAAAGGATATGAATCTATGGAAAAACATGGGGCAAGAAACTAAACCCAGAATGAGTCCCAACAAAAACTGAAAAAAAAATTGAGACCTGATGTTGGCACTGCTGCTATTACACTGCTCACACCATCTTTCAGCTTCAGCTGTTTTTAAAGATGACAAACAAAAACCTAATGGGAATAATACTTTGGGCACATGGATTTGTTTAATAATTATTTCTTTACTCATATATATACTCATACTGCTGCTGTCCCTCTATTGATCAATGTGGCATCAGCTAAAAAGTTTGCACAATACTGCAGAGATAGTACTTTCACAACATGAGTCACTTCTGTCAGTCATACATAAAATCATTGTTCTGCATCTCTGTCTTATCAGAGTTTGCAGTTTTTAGCATCATCTCTGATGATGCAATTCACTTATCCTTGTAACTTGAGGTATCTTTCTCAAACACATGATAAACTTTTAAGTCCAAAGAGGCAAGTGCACTTCATGCACTTTACCCTGAATATGGAAACTCAGATTTACATCCCAGATGTGAATGGCATCCCACCTGAGAACCGCAAATACCAGGTTGGGGGTTATTTCTGAATGAGTTTCTGAGTAACTTTTAAAATGAAAACAAGGCCATACTTGAAAATATTGGAATAGTTGGAAGCAGGTTTCTCCCAGTTCCAGACATTAACAACTACATCTAAGAACAGCATCTCCAAGAACTTTTGGATTGTAGTCAGTACAACTGGGCCACCCCCTGAGACACAAAGTCCATCTCCCAGCCATTAACACCTAACACCCTGACCCTTAGAAACAGATGGAATAACCAAGAGCCCTAAACCCATCCCTGGATTTTTACCAGGTGGAATGTAAGTACTTCTTTGAATTAAAGCTATCAGCAGTCAGGCAAATCATCTTATCCTGAAAGCAGTTTTCTTTCAAATACCAAACCTTCAGATGAAATAATACTCAGTGGATAGTGCAGCTAAAGCAAAAAATAGTTGAATGAAGCATGTGGTACCTTCTCCATGTGGTTGAACTGTTGAACTGAACGGAGAGCAGTTGTTAGCCAGGATGGAATGTTACATTTTAACAGTTGCCAACTGCTCCTCCAGCTTGGGACATCAGCATGATGCTGCTACATGACCTGTCCAGGCTGAACATCTTCCTCTCTCTCTATTGCATCCAAGTAAAATACAGAATATCAGATTGTTTCAAAGAGTTGCCCATTATGGTGCGTTTTTTAATGTGGAATGTAACAAACCAATTTAGTGAAGCTCAAATAATACCCAACTTCTTGCTGATGCAACTGTGGTCTTAAAAACAAATCTCTGATACCACAAAGATACTACAGCCTGCTGGGCAACAACAGTCAGAGGGAGGAGTGAGAATACGTGTGAGAGAAAGAACCCTCGGACACCAAGGTCAGGGAAGAAGAAAAGGGAGAAGGTGCTCCAGACGCCGGGACAGAGAGTGTCTCCTGCAGCCCGTGGTGAAGGCCATGGTGAGGCAGCTGTAGCCCTGCAGCCCATGAAGATCCAAGGTGCAGCAGGGATGGAGCTGCAGCCTGAGGAGGGCCCCACGCCAGGGCAGGTGGGTGCACCCAAAGGAGGCTGTGACCCCATGAGAAGCCCGCGCTGGAGCAGGCTCCTGGCAGGACCTATAGACCCAGGAGTCTACAGGAGTCTACTCTCGCAGGAGCCGCCGCTGGGGAAAGCGCAGCTGCCCTCGGTCGGGCTGGGCCGGGCCGGCCGAGCGGATCCACCGAGTCGCAGGGCCTGATGTCGGGCGGGAGGCGGCACCGCCCCGCGCAGCGGCAGCGGCAGCNATGAGGCGGCGGGGCGCGGTGCAGCGCAAGGTGCCGTGTCTGTTCGTCACCGAGGTGAAGGACGAGCCCTCGGCCAAGCGGGAGCGACAGGTGGCTGGGGCAGTACCGGGACGGGAAGACTGGGGGCAGGCAGGTGGGGATGGGCCCGAGCCCAGGGAAAATCGCTGGGCCGCGGCGTGGAACAGCACGGACCGTGTCAGAGCCCCCGGCCACAGCCGAGTGGCGAGAAGGGTTGGCTGTAGATTTGAGGGAAGCTCACGGGAGAGGTTTGTGTATTCCCCGCTGGAATACAGGGAAGAATGGCCGTCTGAATGCCGTATCAGCTCAGCCCCACGCTTTTCCTGGCGAGTGCAAACAGGTGTCCACCCTGATGCTGTGTTTGCTTTTCCTCAGTGAGGGTCACTCCAGAATGACCGTACGGGGAGCCTGTACCTGTGTGAAACCATCCTGCCATTCCCGCCTGTGAGCCTCGTAGGAGGAAAAATTATCTTGTATCCCCCCCCCTCCTTTTTTTTTTCTTCTATTTTGAATATCAGGCTTATGACCAAAAAAAATATGAGGCTGTGAGATGTGGACAGATTGGGGTGGCACTCGCCTGTCTAGCTGCAGACCTCCAGTTTGTGTTCCCTGATTTTAGTAGCAGCTGCATAGTGAACTTGAATGCAGCTCTGGGTGACTTCGCATTGGTGATTGGCTTCTGGTTGAAAGAGCTGAAATTTTTGTCAAAACGACAGTAATGTAATCGTTTAACTCAGAGTTAAACCATCTCAATAATGGTAATGTAAGGGTACCTCTGTACACTGTTGATTCTTCGCAGAGAAAAACCTAACAGGGTATTAGATCTGGAACTGGCACATGCTATTTTTGTTTGGTTGGTTTTGTTTTGGTTTTTTTTATTTTTGTGCTGTCGCTTTGCTTTGGTTTTGGTTTTTAAAGTTCAGGCAAGAATAAAATGTGATTATGACTGGTAGGGAAGAAAGAGAGTGGTAGTGCTGGTAAAACCAATGGGAATGTTTTCTCACTACTCTGAAATTTTTAATATAATCTTCATATATGCTGTTTGTTATGGTTACACATAACTATAATATGAAACAGTCACATCATGTAACACAGGTTCTTCTTTTATGAATTCCACATTCTGTTTCAAGACTTCTGCAATATAAGGACTTGTTTTGTGTTTTGCTAGCATAAAGAGTCCAGATTAAAAGACAAATTTGACTGAGGAGAGAAGAGAGAGGTATGATGATTAGAAGAGAAAAAAAATTGAATCCAAACACAACTGATTGTATGTTTGCATTGAAACTGTTTGGGAAGCTGTACAGAAGCCCTAGAAATTTGTACTAGTTCACTTCTTGTTTAAGATCCACAGATCATGTATTTCTTTGCTCTTTTGAAGCACAAAAGTGTTTAGCTGACATTGGTGATACTAAATGTTTAATATGAGGATGCTTTTTCTACCTTGCAAGAGCACACCTGCTCTGTGTATTGCACTAACATGGCACTATAGAATTTCATCTCCAAACTGAAAGCTGGGGAAGGCCTGTCATGAGGAATTTCTATTGCCACCCTAATGCAGGAAGGCAGATCTCAAAATGCTGCAGTGTTGGACTGGAGCACTTCTAGTTTATAGAAGTGGTTCTGTTGCCCTGTTTAGAGTGGAAAACAAAAGCATCTCTAAGTAATAATCAAGAACGGGAAAGAGGAAGAGACTTCACAAACAGATTGACTTGGTTCTTCTGTCTTAGAGTACTTTGCAAAGTATCAGGTTTTGAAGAAACTATTAGAAATCAGCTCTATAATGTGTAATCCTCAAAGAGCTAGATTTAGAGAGGCCAACTATAAGGAGCAAGAATCTGTATGATAGCAAGGCAGTAACATAGTCACTTGTCTTCTTTTCAGCCATTTAAAGTTTTGGCAACTGACACTATAACTGGAAAGGCATTAGAGGCAGATGTACACAATGCAGTTCCTACTGAAAAGGTGGATGGAACCTGCTGTTATGTAACAACATATAAAGGTAATCAGAAAGACCCATTTGCAGATTTCTCATGCTGACTAGAACTTGTTTTTCTTAGTTTTTACTTTTTTGTATGATTTATTTACAACTGTTGTGAGTTCAAGTGTCATTAAGCATCTTCACCACGAAGTAATAGTTATCATAGATTTAGAAGGTGTTTCTAGAGTTGTTCTAGCATTTACTCTCTAAAATACATGAAGTGTGATTTAAGTGAATATGAACATTTCATTTAAGTGAATAGGAACTATTCCAGTTCTCAAACTTCCTATTAGTAAGTCTTCCTTGCAAACTGGGTCAGGTATAATAGAGTGTCTAATTTCTTTGGGGAAGATGTATAGAAGTACAGAGGTTGGGAGGAAATGAGAAGACTGTGGTTCGTTGACTCACTGGGGCTCGTGCCTTCACCTGCATTGTAAGGAAGCTCTGTATTACGCTAGGCAAGACTGTACATAGAATCTAAAATGGATTTGAAAATCCACATAGTGTACTTTGAATTTAAATAGTGGGTGGCTTTGCTGATAAAATTTCTCTAGTGGCAAATGGGAATTCCTATCTTTCATGTTATGTAGTTGATTTCAGTACTTTGCAGGGTATGGTCACCTCAGTAAAATGCTGGTTTTATCTTTGGAAACTCCTAGGACAACCCTACCTATGGGCCAGGTTGGATCGAAAACCCACCAAACAAGGTGAAAAAAGGTTTAAACGATTCTTGTATTCATTGGAAGATTGTAAAGGTTAGTGAAGATTTCTTTCATTCTTTTTGACAGTATATGTTAGCCAGTTAGAAAAACAACTAGGCTAACATGGGAAATATCAGTGATCCTTGTTCCAGTTTTTTTAAGCTCACCCTTTACATTGGGAAAAAAAAACTGGAATAGGTAGCTAATTTTTGAATCTTAATTTTTGAACCTTTGAATCTTACATTTTGAACTTTTAAATTTCTTAAAGGCTGAACGCATCTTTAAAATACCCTAATTGTAGACCACTTGAGTGTGACATGTTGGTGTTTGTACAAAGTAACTGGGATTACTGTCTATAAAACAAGGTTTAAATCAATGGTATTTTGATAATTGCATTGAAAGACAACAAAGCAAAGTTGATTAACAGTTCACCAAAAACAAAGTATTGCATTTATATGTCTAGAATTTGTCTGGAATATTGAAGAGGATTTCAAGCCTGTTCCAGATACGTGGATTCCAGCAAAGGACATAGAGTTCTCTAATGGCAATCCTTTGCCTGATGAAAATGGACATATGCCAGGTACCTATGATGCAGCACAGGTAAAACTGGGGAAAGGTGTGTGTGTGAATTTCTGAAGTGAATTAGAATTAGTTCCAGAGTTAAAAGTAGTATTTAACATATTCAGAAAAAAAAAAATTGGAACGTCATTCGTTGACTATCCAGGAAGGCTTTGTTCTTCTGACACATGGAAATAATTGCAGTTTGCTGTACAAACTCACAGGCTTTCAGCTGAAGGCATAATTGGCACATTTGCATTCTTCTGAGATACAGTTTTTTAATGCATGTACAGCTTCTAGTATTTACTTCGGTGAAATGTAGTGTTTTCTCATAGGTTGGGTGCCCGTGGAGAAGAATAGTAAGCAGTATTGCTGGCACTCATCTGTTGTAAATTATGAGGCAGGAATAGCACTGGTATTGAAACACCATGCTGACCCAGGGCTTCTGGAAATCAGTCCCGTGCCTTTATCAGAAATTTTAGAACAAACATTGGAGCTTATTGGGACTAATATCAATGCAAATCCATATGGTAAGTTTATATGGTCTGTTCTTAAATACTTTTTTTCTTTAGTGGTATTTTTGAGTGAAATCAGTGCATTTTCTTTGTGTAAGTTTTTTAAAAGAGTTTTCCAGTAGCAACCTTCATAGAAAGGAGATAAAGGGCTGGCTGAAGGAACTCTCACCCAAAAATACTCAGTTTAGAAAGCTGAGTTATCATGGGACTAATTATGTCAATTAAATCTTAGTTACTATAAAAATGCATTGCTTTAGTCTTTCAAAAATCTTTTGACTAGAGAAAAGTGTTGTAAATATTACTATTAAAATATTAGTAAAATTTTTAAAGTTTGTTTCTTGGAACCTTTACTATTTACACACTCTTTTGATTAATTGAAGTAGAAAGCTTTATTCAACCGTTTTTTAGAGCCCCTAAAGTTAGTCAGAAGTTGCAATTTTTAAATTATGAAATAGGAAATTTTTAAAGGAAATGTAATTTAGACTAGATTTAAGTTGTGGCTCCTTCCTTTAAAGGCTTTATAGTGAGAAACTAATTAAGTATGAGCACAAGGGAGTTCTAACTTCTGTGCTTAGCTGCTAGGATAATTTGCAAGGATGAATAGGAAAAATAGTCCTACCTGGTCCTAAGCATTTCTTCAATTTGGACAAGAATTGCAACAAAAAGTTCTAATAGCTGTGTTCTTAGAGGAAGATTTATGTTAACATGAAAAGGCAATGCAGTTGTTAACAGCCCAGTTTTAAGTATTCATGAGAAGATATGCCAGATTTTCAGGAACTAAGGTGTTTGTGCCATTGATCATGATCTGAAGCATGACGGATTTAGCTGGTAGCTTTATGGTGACTGAAGAGGTAACCACAAGTTAAAAACAGACAACTCTATAAATCTGTGTGTCATGTTTATTTTATACTAAGGAGGAGGAGGGTTTAAAAAATATAAATGAAAACGTGAGGAGAGACAGTTGCATTTGGTACTTAAAGATGTAATTAACTGTTCTGTTAAAGACAGGATAATTTTGTAGTATCTAATAGAAGTTTACCTTTACAGAGTACTTTTAAGATGTCTGCAATAACAAAAGTGAGGAAACACAGTAACTAGGAAGAAGGTATTTGTTTTTTTAAATGTAGGATTAGGAAGCAAGAAGCACCCTGTACATCTTCTAGTCCCACATGGAGCATTTGAAATAAAGAATCCACCTGCTTTGAAGCAAAATGACATCCTGTCTTGGTTTGAAAGCTGCACGGAGGGTAAAGTTGAAGGAATTGTGTGGCACTGCCATGATGGGTGTTTAATCAAGGTAAGTATGTGGATAGCACTGTAATAATTCATAAAATGTGAAGTACTGTATTGATTTTTTTGTCTTTTTTTTTTTCCAGTTCTTTAATAGCAAATTAGTTGATCTCCAACAAATGAGATGACAGTAGAATTAGCTACTGTAATGACAACATAACATATTGAACTTTTTCATTCCCAACATGCTAACAAAGTAATTGCGAACATATTTTCTTGCCTGTCTGTACAGGCAGCATTCATTTTAAAGCTTAATTCTTGTATTTAAAAATTGAATTCTCGTAATGTTGACTAATAGAACAATTATTATTAAGAATGTGATTTTTCATTAATTAGCAAGTTTGTATTATTTCTGAAACTGTGGAGGACACCTTGGTTCTGGTTTGCCTTTTGAACTTTGCTGTTTTTCATGTTACAGAGGTAACTTATTCATGGTTTTAAGTGCCCTGATGCAGAGGATCCTAGAATCCACAAACACCCACACACTTCCCAAGCTGGAAATTGTTGCACTACTCTATCAAAATGGCTGAAATTATCTTCTTTCCTTTTAGCTCCATCGCCATCATCTTGGTTTACCTTGGCCACTTGCAGAGACGTACCTGAATTCTCAGCCCGTTGTAATTTCTTTTAACAGAACTAAATACGACTGTGACTTTGAACCAAAGAGTTTGTTTCACCATTTTTCAGTGTTGGATGGACAAAGATTTGACAGACTCAAAGATATCAAGTTTGATGCTTGAAATGATTTTTTTCTTTTAAGTTAATTGTTGTATGTCCTGCATTTCTCTTACTTGTGTCTACCACAGAATTCTTCATGAATAGTCTTCTAGCTTAGGCAACAGCCCAGGTACTACTGTATCATTTTAAGTTTATCCTAAATGACTAATTTTATATAACAGAGATCTACCTTCCAGCATGTTTATTTTATGAAAAGTCCTTAATTTTGAACCCATTCCTGGAAACTGTTAGCATTGAGTGTAGGAAGTATGTTTTCTACTGCTGGCTGGTCCTAAAAGCTTTACTAATTAATGCAATCTACTGGAAAAGTTACATAGGTTGTGCTTCTACAAATGTAATTATTATGACACTATTGTATGTAGGTTTGAGACTTAGTATCAAATTTCTTAACAGTAGAAGGACATATTTCAGGTGGGACCAGAATTAGTCCTAAAATTTGACTTTTTTTTTTAAAGTTGTAAAAGTTTCTTACATGGGAAAACTTCCTGGTATCATTTAACTGTATATCTGCAGCATTATACTATTATTTAAAAACCCAATTAACCTATATCCTCCAGGCACTTGCACTATTTTAGGACAAAGAGAGTAAATAATAAATAAGCTATTTTTATTCTGGAGAGCCTAGTAAGTGGAGAGAGACATGACTTGGTTTAGTAATTCCCATTTACAACTATGTCTCAATTAGGAAACTTCATCAAAGGCATATTAAGATAAGGTGTATAAAAATAATAAAGGAGAGACTGAATGATCATTTGAGTTGGCTTTATTTCATCTCTGCTATAAAAGTATACATCCAGCAATATTAAAAAAAAATCAATTATGTACAAAAATCCCAGTGTTTTGGCTCAAATAGTATAGCTTCATTTTCAGTTCTTGGATTTTTTAACACTGAGGTGAAAATAACCAGGGACGTAAAAACACACATCTAGCACACTGACCCTGAGTTCAGAGTTAAACATTATGGTTGCACAGGACAAGAGCAAATTATGTATTCTTACTGATCTGGGACTTGGCATACTTAGTATGCTGACAGTTTAAAGGATTATTAACTTCTAAGAGAAGCCCAAGGTTTCAATTTCACCTGACACCTTATTACCCAAATTAACTGTTCTGAATTAAAATACATTATTGCACAGGAGCTGGGACAGGTAAAACTCACTTTTATTTTGACTGTTGTGTATAGTGACCATGAACTGTTGAATAATCCAATTCTGCACTCTTAGGTGTGTGCAAACTCACATAACTTTAAGAGATTTGTACAGTTCGAAGATACAAAAAATGAAATTGTCCGTGTTTATCAATGATGAGGATACTGAACACTACCCCAGTCAACAGAACTGTTATCTGGATTATTCTGAATGCCAAACTCTTCATAAAGGTGCTTCAATCTCTCTTCTAAGATAATATTTTTTTTTAATTCTTCTTTGTAGTTATATTTTAGGTCCTCAAGTTCTTCAAAAAAGGAAGGACTATAGGTTTCTAGTTCTCTTCTTAGCTCTTTTGTCTCTTCCTATTGAAAAGAATAAAAAGGAGTACCTTTATCCAGAACTTTGGTAATACCACACCTTTTTCTGCCTTTTTCATGAGAGATTATATGATAAGAGAATAAGGATCTTATCTAGTAGCAAAAAACTCTAGCCATAAACAGCATCTTCACTAAAAACAGGCTTTGTAAACAATGCTTAGAAATTGACTGTATCATTAAATATTAATTTAGTTATTAAACAGCTCTTTCTAGCTCAACATAATTTTGCTTATTATCTTGCCTAGGATGATCTTTGCAGCTCACCTTTAATTGCTGTTTTTCAAGCTCTGAAACTTCGAGCTGTGACTGGAGGTCAGCCATTTCTGTCATTAGTTTATCAATTTTATCCTTCTCTAAAGTTTCATTATGTCCTGCAAAAATAATAATTTTTTTTCAATTAAATTTTAAGTAGTGAAAACCCATGGCACAAATAATCTTGTTTCAATAATTCTGCATCTCCTGAAAGCTGAAACAGTTAAATAAAACCAATTATGATCACCAAACATTAAAGTCAGCTGGACTTTTCCTTAGTTCTTTTACAAATTAGGCAGTGGTGTCTAGTTCCTAGTTTACAGCCTCTTGCTCAAAATAATTGATTATGGAGATTTTTTATTGAAAATTCTCTTCAAAAAGCTTGTAGATGTACTCAAAAATCCAAGACCTTAATCTGCTGCAATTTACACAACTTTGGTGTTAATCTACTTCAAATAATTCTGTAGATTTATTATCACTTTGCACACACATATTAAGTAAAAGTAGTTTTAGGCCCTAAATACAAGAAGATCTTTAGGTATTGAAAATTATTACCAGCTGCAGGACCTTCATTTGTAGAGGTTTGTCTTTCCTGCTTATAATCCTCCATCTGGTTCACTAGTTCTGCTTTTTCTTTCTCTAATTGATTATTAGTTAATCTGGAATATTAAAAGAATAGTTTTTTTTTAATTATTTCAATATTTTAAGACATAAAATATTTAACTAAAAATTGCAGTGGTCATTTCCTGATTTCATGTATATTAGCTGAGATACTTAGTTTAGAAGTACATTACCTTAAAAGCTGAAGCTCCTTGATGATGTTTTCCTCTGACCCTGAACCTTCAGGAAGATGTTTGAGATGCTCAATCTTAAAAGAAAAATTAAGAAAGTTTTATTCTTGAAAACAGTATCCATGGCCCTGCAGTTCAAATAGAGTTCTCTTGGATACAATATTAAAAAAAGAATGAAAATAATACTAAGGATGTAACCAAACATTAAGCTATGTTAAAAAAACCAAAAAACTTGTTCATGTACAGTTCCCACACACAAAGCTAATGCTTGACAGCCTTTCCAAAGTTAGTAAAATCATTGCTATGTATTTAATGAAGAGCAAAGAAAAAAGTAGAAGTTAGATTTACAAAGAAAGTTGGATACATAGCTACACCAACGTACTGTATACATATGCTTAAGGAATTAATATACCTAAATCATTTAAATGCTTTAAAAATATTACTGATATGGTTATTTGCAGAGACTCCTGGTAAAGATGCAGGCACAAGAGTGGTTTAAATATGTGATTATATAGAGTTGCTGAATGCAGTGACAGTTCATGAACTCGTATGAGGCTACTGACAATGATAGGTTTTTGTTCTGTTACTACCTAACAGGGTAAGGATTTGGGTTTTTTTACACAATCAGGCTCTGTTTTTTGAAACGTAATTAACTTTGATCTCATCCCTTCATCAGTACTTGAGACATGAAAGAAACTGGAAAGTGTCTTGCTCCCAGAGTAATATAACAAAATGAAAGGCTTCTATCTCTGTGTTAAATTCGCTGCTGGCATATACTTCATGTTAATAACACTGATGTTAGAAAAGGAAAAACAAGAAAAAACGAAGAAAGTTATTGTTTTATAGGAATAAATTCCAAGTTCTGTTATTGAACACATCTTTCTTACATAATATATAGACACACACATATATATATGACTTCCCAAATCAGAAGTTTTGTATTTTATACCTTAAAAAGAGAAGGACCAGTACAAATTGTCTGGGGAAGAAAATCGCCTGCATATAAATAAATGAGAAGATGGAAGCTAATGTAGGGGCAGTTCTAGGACTGTACCTCTGTACTTAAAAGCCAAAAGGTGATACATCTTTTAAAAGGTACCTAAGTTTAAAATTCATCAACTCTTCCACACGTACAATAGTACTTGTAAGACTACTGGAGACTGCATGTAAGGGACCAGACTGGAAACAGAAATGAGGATCCTATTTAGGATAGTGAACCCAGTACTCTCCTGCCCCCCACCAAAACTGGAGGGAATAGGGAAGTCTCTGCAGCAGCCTCACTGCAAAACAAGCTTGAAAGATTTAAGACCTTTTGCAGCATCTATCTAGAGGCTTTCATGTGATCACTGAAACTATAATAAAAAAACCCCTACAGAAGAATACAGTAGAAAAATAATCATATTCCTCAGACTGCAAATCAAGAATATGTACTGATAATATGTGGTAAACCTCATTAATTGGCTAAAGTATGCAAATATAGCAACTATGACTGAAAAAAAGCTATAAAAGAAAGGATTAGAAAAAAAACAAGTATTCTGCCACTACAGACATTATTACAAAGACAAATTAAGCATTCTATTTCCAGAGTTATCTAGCTAAATTTTACTCACTTGTTCTTTCAGGTCTTGTAAATTTTTATCAGCGTTGTGCTCACGTTCTGTTGCTTCCTGAAGCAGCCTTTTAAGGTTAGCAATGCTTTGGGTTTTTTTAGCAATATCTGTTTCCATTTCCTTCAACTTAGTTTCCTGCATTCTGACAGTATTTTTATTTAAAGAAAAATAAGAGCAGAAGTTAATACTTATGCAGAAACAGAGATTAAAATATCTTTAGGAGAATAAATGCTGTAAAATACACCCTAAAATATGTTTGGGGCATTTGCCTTGAAATAACCACTGGACTGATAAATACAGTTTGCTGAAAGAAGCATAGCAAGAAACACATCTAATCTTAGAATAAAGGTTTTTCTAGATATTACACTGTTGTGGTTCTCTTTTTGTGTCTACATTTATTAAAAGGGGACAGGAACATTTTTATGCTATTGCGCATAAACCCCAAATACCTGCTGATGAAAGGATCCATGTTGCTGATGCAGGGTATACACTAGTTGGATCTTACTTCAGTGTTATACCTTTGAAAGTATTTTTATAATGATTTATGAAAAATAATGTACTGAAAAAAGGACTAATGTAGATGGAGAAGATGAAGACTCCAAGGCCAAACTAATCTGCAGTAAATTGTTTACCCTGGAGGAAGAGCAGTCTGAGGAAGATTCCATTTTGCTTTGAGCTTTACAAGGCTACAAAAAGGTTTGTGTAGAATCTGAAATGTTGGAAAGTACCTCTGGAGATCATGTAGCCCCGTCTCCTATCTGAATCCATCTGGATTTTCAGATAGCAATACAGTCAGTGTCCAACACCTTGCTACCTGCCAAGGAATCTTCTGAAGGGTCACTGGGATGACAGCCCTTTGTTTGCCCTATGAAACACTTTGTGTTACCACGTATATGCATTGGTAGATGTGCTGGTGAGGTGCATTGCATGTTAAAGTTCCCCAAGGAGCTCTAGGTTAGTAAGGTTATGTTATTAACTTACTTTAAAGTAAATGCAAATAGAAGGCTTTAGTCACATGAGTTGAAATAGGCAAGTACAATTAAATGTGACCATGTATTTTGTATTTATACACAACTATGTATCACTCTCAACTAAATAGAGCCAAGTAGAAATGTTTTTGAAAAGAGGTGAAGAAGAATACTGCTGAACCAATATGGCAGCTGTTAAGGGCCTACTATCTTCACTGCATGCTCATAGCCTCCCTCTGCTGTGGCAATCAGCTACTTCTGTCCTGTCCTCCAGTCAGTTCTGCCCTCCTTCCTTAGACAAATTATGGTTTCATCTGGCCTTGCACAGAGACGTTTTACCTCACTGGATAGTTTGGGGGAAGGCTAAAAAAAACCAAAATGCTTTTTGAAGTCTCAATGAAGAAATGGCTCAGCAATATGTCAGAGTAGCACTGGACTCCCCAAGGGATCCTGTGGGAGCGCAAGACCGGGAAGGGAGTAAAATCTTGGACATCAACAGTGTTCTGACCTAAGATAAAATTAAACAAGTCTCTCTCCTGTCCAGCTGATTTTTTGCCCTAATAAGTTTACTGTCAGAGGTTCTGATTTTGTAGATACCTTCCATTTCTGTTTACCACTATTAAAGAGTACTTTTTAACATGTCAACTTATTTCACCCTGAAGTCATCCAGAAGTCCAGGACTAAGTATTTATTACCAAAAATTTGCTCTCTGCCATCCTTACACAGGACATAGGTTGTTTATGTTTCTTAATAGCATAAGCATTGTATCATTTTTCTGTCCTTTTATTACATTCCCAATTCCTACCTTGTTACAATGGACTTCCAGCCTCTGCTGTCAGCTCCATCAAGCTGGCTCTCAGCCAAATTTAGCTTCTTAATGGTTTCCTCCAGCTGTACATTTAACTTCTCATTTAATATCTCCAAGTTAGTCTTCTCTATTCGTAGCTTCTCTCCACTGTCAGCTTCCTATTGTTCAATAAAAGCAAAGCTTTGTGGAATACTTAACCGCACATGAAGCATGGTATTATCTCAATCAACAGTGGGACGGTGAGTGCTGATGTAGAGGAAAATGGCATCAAAGACTACAAGCACTACAACTTCCAAATTTGATCTTGGGCTAGTCCTTGGATATCTCCTTTCCACATATAGTAAAATAAATCTGTCATGGCCATATCAGTGTTATATCAACCATTAAGTAAAAACCATATACTTACCATAACCAGTGCCTAGTGGAAATAAAGGGATGCTTCAAAACTAACATACCTTTTTCAGTTCTTTACGCAGTCTTTCATTTTCAGTAATGAGTTTTTCCGTTGCTTTGGTTTTAGATTCAAAACGCACACTCAGCTGGCCCTCCAGATCAAGTTTCATTTTTTCCATTTCAGACTAAAGATTAAACAATTTGTTAAAACCCATTTACATTGCTTAGTAGAAGATTTTAGATTTCCATTTAAAGCACAGTGAACATTTCATCACATAGTTAAATGTATCTGCAAGGTACAATGTACCTTAAACTGTGCAGTATGTTATACTAAAATGCAGTTTTGCCTTTCTGTTCTATATATTTCATAGCTGGCATTTCCAAAACAGTTTTGTGCCAATCAGTATCAACAGGCCTGCTTCTCCATTTTGTTACTACCTTGCATATAAACTGTTACCTAAATAAAGTTACTGGAGACAAATCTGTACCTTTAGCCTCTCATTTTCCTGCTCAAGACCAAGTAATTTCTCATTAGAAACCACAGCTGGAGCTTTTTTTAGTTCTTCATTTTCTCTTTGGACTCTCTCAACAACCTTTTTCATCAAGCCAATTGTTTTTTCCAGTTCTGGGACTGTCTTTCCACTTCTACCAGCCTACAGAGGGGGGAAGGAAAGAAGTAAAAGTGAACAAATAGTTCATCTTAACATTCTGAGATACTCCAGATCTTACGTTATTGCTTATTTTCCCATTGCAATTCATACTTATATAAAAAAAATGCTTTATTTTGATACAACTTGAACACTAGAATTTCTTGCGTACTTAGCTCTCCAAAACATCTGAAGATTTATTAATACCCCAAGTCAACAGATCAACTCCTTCATTTTCTATGTTACCCTAAAGAGCTGCAGTTAAGTCTCAAAATCTGCTGTACTCATGAACTAAACTGAAACATTAGGAAAATAAATCAAAGAACTACTTAATTTATTTAGCTTTTCTTGTAGAAAAATTCCCCAATCCAACAGACCATGCAATTGCTTAAATACTAATACCACTGGGGGCACAGGGGAAAAATGTCTGGGAGCTTGAGAGAAGAAGGCTCTTTTTTAGCAACCCTTCTTCTGCTGAATTAAAGTGACAGAAGAACTACATATTAAAGCATAAGTAGATCTGCCTTTCCAAAGGCATATATTCTTCTTGCAAAGTGATAAATAAATAAATGTGGGGGAAAATACTGTAATTTCCCTATTTTTCTTCTTTCACTACAATAAATAATGAGTTAGAAAATCTGTTAGGGAGTCTTCAAATCCATTTTTTTTCTCATCCTCTTTGTAATAATTTCCTCAGCAATCATAATTTAAAGATACTGCTGATTCTAGTTCAGGGGCCATAAGGTACCTCATAAGGAAAATGGGGAGGATTTACTCCCTAGACTTCTACATAAATGTATAGCAACCAAATTTCAGAAGTAAAAACTACTTATTTTTCTTCTCTAAAATAACTGGAGGGATTAGGTTTGTGTTGGTACACAGCAGAGTTAAAGCAAAACCTGTCACATCTTTCTGCCTGTGAATGGAGAAAGATGCAGAATTTGCTGTATCCTCAGAATTTTTGTGTGAAACAGTTGTATAAACTGAATTTTCTTGTCCAAGAATACCACTACATAAGAGAGACAGGTATACAAGCACTCCATGCAAAGCATGGGTAAAAGAATGAAAAATATCTGATCTTTTTCAGGTACCCCAAAGTAAAACTCATTCTCCTTGTGTAGTGAGCTACAGAGGCACTTAGGAGCTTTTATTAATTCAGCTTTCTTTACAAGGTCACAAAAATAGTTTGATAAGTGAGAAGCAGGAGACACACTGCTGAGTAGTTTTTCCCCTTAACTTTGGAAATATTGTTCTATTAAAGTAGTTGACAGTAGCTAGGATAAAATTTTGCTGTGTCACCTTCCACAGTACAACAAACAAAAACCTTCACTAATAGTAACTGACCCTTTTTACATCTGCATCAAAAAACACTTACATAAACATATGAATATAATTTTCATTATTACTGCTGTAACTGCTATTTATTGTACAAATATGCTTCTGAAGGTAACTAATCCAAATGACAAAATAAGGCCATGATAGTGCAAATATTTAATAGTTTAGCTCTAGTCCTTCTAATGCTCCTGTTAACTTAAGGTCATTAATTCATTATAGCATTTTGTCAATACAATAAACAAGAGCAATTCATGTTTGGCTTTGGTTGATTCCAAATGATTTCATTTCAATAATACTTTGGGTTTTTTTGTATTTTGTTTTAATTTACTTATGATGAAAAGTGCTGTTAAGATACTCACCCCTCTAATGCTGCCCAGCTTTCGTTCAGCTTCTGCTTTCTCTTTTTTGAGAAGTTCACACATTTCTTTTAAGTCATCTACTTGGTCCTACAAAAAAGAGAAAGCAGAAGCTGAACGAAAGCTGGGCAGCATTAGAGGGGTGAGTATCTTAACAGCACTTTTCATCATAAAAATGTAAGAGAAAACAATTTCCCATCACAATGACATTTTCCATTATTTCTACCATTCTACCATATTCAACCTTCTCATCATTCATGTAAAAACATGGAAAATTTACAGTATGTACAATATCCATTTCATTTTAAAAAATTCTCTGAGCTGTGTGAGGGTAAAGGGTCTAAAGTAAGATGATGTTACCTTTAGTCTTGGCAAATCTTTATTGGCCTGCTCTAGCTGGAATTTTAGCTCAATGTTTTCAGATGACAATCTGAAATTCTCCTTTAAAACTTCTTGTTCTCTTCGATACTGATCACCTGATCTTATTCCTGATGTCTTGAGAAAAGAGAGGAAAAAGATATTGTTAAGTGGTAATGTAATTCAGTACAACTATCAGTTGTAGCTGATTAAGAGCAACAGAGAACTAGTATTTTTCACAGAAATGAAGCAAGAAAATATTATTTCCAGTTTTGATCTAATCTGCTTTGATTTTAACACATTCTCTTATGTTTCATTAACTTGCTTAACCTTTAAGGGAAGTTTACAAATCAGTATAAACCAGTAAAAATTTTGTCAAACCAAAAATTACTTCTCAAACTATTCTGTAGAAGTAAACCTCAAAGACTAAAAGATAACGAAGTTACTGAATGAAGTAAGCTGTGACACTGTACCTGGGAACAGCATCTAATTTTAAGGGTATACTCTGGTAGTTTTTCAGGTAGCACATACGTCATAAGAAATTTCAATTATGTCAAATGGATCAGAGAGCAAGCCAGGAACAGTAGCATGTCATTCCCATTTAATCTGTTAGTTCCCAAAATCCTAAGTTTTTATCCATGGAGGATAGTGATTTCAACTACACAAAGATGGCTTTGCATACTTTCTAGTGCCAACTGAAATCACAGCAATACAGTAAATTCACTCTGACTAGTAAAAAGAAAAACCTTTTAATAATTTAATAATCAGTATTTTTTACTTATGTAATTTGGGAATTAACTGTATGATTCATCACTTTATCACTAATTGGAGGAATCGAGTATTTGCTTCTTTAAAGCCTTTTTTTTTTCTTGGTGTAAATAATAACAGATAGTAAGTCTCAAAGAATGAAGGATATCAATTAGCTCCATGTATCTTTTGATAGTCTCTGGATCAAAATTTTAGAATTGACAGTAGCTTACTTGTGAGCTGACATGCATGCCTATCCTGAAAGTATAAGGTTTGCTTTCTGGACCACTTGGTAAGTACTCTAATATCCCTGCAGACCATGCACAGGAAAGCACTGCTTTATCAAGATCAAACCATTCTATTTCTAAATTATTTGTACTGAAGAAATGCTAGTCACTACAGTATCAAACCTCGGGCATTTCACAAAATTCTGGGATAGTTTCAGCCCCTTCTGTACAGCCTCGGTCATTTTCCTGTTTATTCTCTGCAGTGTGTTGATTCATTTCATTATTCATATTTATATTCTCTGCTTCACAGTCATTAGCTTGATTAGGAGGTTCCCCTGAATCAGACTGATTGCAGCTCATTTTATCAGCATCAGGCTCTTCTACACATTCCTCTTCATCCACATTTGATTGCTTGAAAATTTCTTGCTTCCTCTCTTCTTCTTTTTCTTCACATTTCTCATTAACTTTTCCATTTTCAGGTTGGGTTATATTTTCTTCTTTTTCACCACAGTTCTCTTTACCAGCTTCAGCTATAATTTTGGTTTTCAGTCTTTCCCTAGAAACATCTGTGTCCTTGCATTTCTCACTATCTTCAGGGTGCTGTTCAAGAGACACTTCTCTGCTTACATCTGCAGCAGCCTCATGGCCTTCATTATGCATGATGCATGTTTGCATGCCTGTGTCCCCATCTACTTCACTGCCATCAGTAATTCTATTATTAGTCTGATGTTTGATTTCATTCCTATTTGAAATAGATTTCTTGTGAAGGAATTTCAGATACTTTTGTTTACTGACACTGATAGGAACAGACTTGGTCAGTTCAGTTTGGTCACATGTACTCTGAGTCAAGTTGAAGATAGAGTGAAGCATGAAAGAAAAGCAGAACACAGTAAAAGAAAACAGAAAACAGAAAGAAAACTAGAACCTACTGTTAAGTCTATTCTTGAAAGATTAAGAAAACATAAAAATGCAAAATTTGCAATATAATCAACCTTGTAAAAATCGAAGCACAACAAAAACACCTATATGTAACTGAAATGAAGCTTAGTATTTCCCCAAACTCTGTGTGTCTTAAATTTTTAATCAATATATAATATAGTAGTAGTATCTCAGCTGCAGACTCATATTTAAAAATATATTTTCCTTATTTCTCTGCATATGCTAGGATGCTGAATATTCCAGCTTCTACCTGTAGGACACAGAAATCTGAGGACTTTGGGGATTTGCGGGTTTTGGTTTGTTGGGTTTTTAAAAAGCACCAAAAGATGAGTATTTCATATCCTGCTGTAGAATACTGTCATTCAAATAAAACCAGCCAAGTGACAGAATACCAAATAGAAAACAAATACTTTTCATAAATAGTATTCTAGATAATATGGTTACATTATTAACTTACCAAGGGTCTCAAAAATGTCTCTCTTGAACATTGTCTCTGCAATGCATGAAGCTTTTCCTGGAGGCATTGATTTTTGAAGTGTAAATCTTCTACAACAGAGTCTCGTGGGATTGCTTGCAGTGTTCTACATCAAAAAATGAATCAAGCCAAAACAAACAAATGGCTATTAATGCAGAAAAACATCCCTGAAGGTAAAAGTACCGTGAAATTCTCGATTTCTACACTGGATTGTCCCAGTGTTTCTAAGCTAGTTACTCTAAATCAATGTTGGTCATATTTCAGCTAATCCAAATGAATGGAAGATACTTGCTTTAGCAAAAGGAATCGGCTCTTTTCAGATGTGTATAATTTCTATTACTCAGGTACATTATCCACTGTGATAGTGGATACACTAGTTAAGAATACATTTCTTAGCTGCACTTAGCAGTTCCAGTAACTTTCACCAACAAAATTTTTCACAATAGCAGCCATATGTTTTTCATATTATTTAGCTTTTTAGAATAATGAACCAATGCTACATAGTCTCTGAACATGCACAATTGCTCCCAAATACTTTTAAGTTAGTTCATCACAGACTCTAAGTTAAATTCCTGTTTCTGTTTTTTCTTCTTGAAGTATAGTTTGCCTGTTGGAGACTATCTCATTCCATATATTTTCTTACTAATTTAGATTTCTCACTTTTTATATTCTTTTAAAAAGCATCTCACCTCATGTGTGCAACTTCATTTTCTAACTCTAGATTCCTTTTTCTTAGTTCTTCCACTTCTTTTTCAGTTTCTGTGGCTCTTACTCCAACAACACGGTCAACAGTGACACCAGTAGTTTTCAGTCTCTTCTGTAGAGCAACTTTCTCTTTTTCAGTCCTGCAACATCCCGTAAATTTACATTTTAAAGTTTATTTGCTAACTTGCTTTCTTGAGGAGGGAATACTTTCTGTCTTAAAGAATCCACATTTGCATTTCATCTGCTCACTGAACCAAACCCCCTTTTTCTGTTTAATAAAGTTACTGTATAGACAGTAAAGCCTTACCAAAATCCCAACACAGGGTATGGACATATGGTTGTTTCCTGAAAAGGCTTCAAACTCATAATCCTAGAATTGTCATTACTGCAGTAACACTACAAGTATCCAGTCCTAGCAACCTGATTAAATAAAACCATCATGAGAAACAGCCTGTCTTCATAAAGCTGTTATTTGCTTTATAAGAATAATAGAATACTATTATGCATAGAATTATATTATGCAGGAAGCATAATAAAGGACTTAAATTAATTTTATCTCGAGACACTTTCTTCTGATAAAGGTAGTTGGCTTCCATAAGGGAAAGGATACTAGAGGAGTTAGTAGCCTGCTGCTTGAAAATTAACTAAACCTTATAGTCTCAACAGCAACGTTAAATTCTCGCTATCGATCTTATAAACATAACAAACTGCAATAATTACTATGTCAAACATATCTGGATTTCCCTTATGTCATAATTTTGAAGTGAATCAATTAAAACCAACTCACTTTGTATAAATTTCTTTCAATGTATTCAGCTGTTTAGATAAAGCATCTGCTTCTTTTTCCTTTTCCCTTAGTTTGTTCCGCAATCCTTCCATTTTGATTTGCCATTTTTTACCTTCATCCCATCTAATTATTTCCTCCTTGGAGGTCTGTGAAGAACATAAATAGATTATGTATTTCCCTTTGATTTCTTATCTTAATGCAAAACAAGCAAACACATTTAAAAACTAAGAATTATATATCCTTCATTTATCAATTTAAACCAGGAAGCCATAGCAGGCATATATTATTTGCCATAGCTAAGTAGAAGTTTCTTCACATTTTTTCTCAAGTTCACTTTCCAACTTTTTAATTTTTTTCTTAAGCACATCCATCAGATTTTTTCATCAGCTTTGCTCTGAAAAATTCAGCTGGATACACTGCTATGATTGGTGTATAAAGCTCCTACCAAATTCTTCCTTAGCGTTTAATATTCATTTTACAAATAAAAGGAATGAAGCATTTTATGAAATTAGAGGTGCTAGTGCAATGTGTCCTTTTACTTCAAATTACAAGATTTAAGACAAAGTAGGTTTTTCATATGGTAATTTACAACAGATCTGTCTTCTACAACTCACCAGGGACTTGCATGCCCCTGTTGCACAGCTTCTTTTCCTACAAGAAATGGAATCTCTACTTAGAGTTAATAACTCAGTAACTATAAATTAGACATTGATTAAAACCTGTAACTATAGGATCACAAGTGTCTACCGAAAAATCACAGTCAATATTCCTATAAGAAATTTTTGTTTTGGTTTGGGGGTTTTTTTGTTTATTTTTAGTTGGAATTTTTCCTTCTCTGGTTATTCCCTGTACTTAATTTTCTGTTTTTGTTCTAAACAGTTACTGCTATAAAGCAATGGAATGAAAGGAAAATCTTGGAAAACAGGAAAAATGCATGCCAAGTGTGAGAAAAATACCTCTACACACAAAGCAACAGGCATTGAAAACATTTAAAATTAAATGAAAGCCTAAGTGCAGTCCTAGAATAATAATAAACATCATACATAAATAGTTTGATTCTCATTATGCAAGTGTGCTATAATATTCCAGTACACTTTATAATTAATATGAGAAGCCATTAATTAGATAGTGACATAGTAACAAGCAAGAAACCAGGAAAGCACTTAAGAATTAACACAACTGTAGTCACTCAGAACTTCTTGAATGTGGAGATCACAATTGTCAAGAATAATTGTCGCGGCAACAAATAATCACTTATAGATACCATCCCTTTTAAGATTCACTCTTTTGCTCCTCAGTATTTTGTGCTTTTACTATTGCATTGGTTTCACAAAAGCACATTTGGCAGAACTTATGTAATCAATTTCACTGCTACCTAAACAATCTTCATTTTCTAAGATTTTGTAGAATTAAACATCCATTAGAAAAAGGCAGGAAAACATTAATATATCAGCAGAAAGTAACAAGAGCAGTAATAAAGTGCATGAGAAACATGAGAAGTTGCACCCATGAAACTACTTTTTTTCTGATCAAGTTTGGCTGGTACGTTTTAGAAGAAATAGGGAGAGGTGAACAACCTTGGCCTCGGCTAATGAGCTGTTTCAAAGCCGTGATATAAATAGCACATACCTTGTCTTCTCTTAGACTCTTCTTTTCTGTTTCTTCACACTTCTTCTCAAGTTCACTTTCCAACTTTTTAATTTTTTTCTGAAGCACATCTATCAGATTTTGTTCATCAGCTTTGCTCTGCAAAATTACAGAATTTTACAGCTTCAAGTTAAGTGACTACTGAGATTTTTTTCTCCAAACAAAAAACAAGGATTTTAATTCCAAATTGGCAAAACTAGTTTAAAACCTAAACGATCTCTTAAAAATTGTCTTCAAGTTATTGTAGTATTGGAATGTAACTTTTCCCTCTAAACTGAATAATCAGCAGCAAGTAGCTGAATTTTAAAAAATAAATGGACGATTCTTCTGTAAATCCCTTACTTATCTTCTAAAAGGAGAAAGAGGGACAGCCAGGAAGAAGACAAAATACCATTTTCCCAAGAAGCTATGAAAGTGGTTATTCAACTTCTCAGACTCTCCCAAACATATTTTAAGAAGTACACAATTTTTTTTTAGCTGAGGCATAGAAACAAGCTAATAGCTCACATGTAACCCAACTGATGAGGAAAAAATAAACTTTTTAATCAAGTGTGAGATACTTATATTTTCATTCCCCCCAAACCAGCTCCTCTATACAGAAACTTGGCCAAGATCAAACATAGTTTGAAAATTCGCTTCTACCTGAATGCTACTGCTTAGCCTCCTAATCCGGTTCTTCAGTTCTTCATTTTCTTTTTCTATTTCGTTTTTTTCCCTCGATATTTTAGAAAATGCTTTTTCTTTCTTCTGAACCTCTTGGTTTAACTCATCCCTTTCATTAGACAATGAAGCTTCCTTGCTTTTACTTATTTTAAGGTTATCTGTAAGCTTTGTAATCTGATTATTCAATTCCTCTATCTGTGTCTAGAAGAAAACAAAAAATGTCAGCAAAGGCCCGAAATCAGGTCGATCAACAATACAAAAAAGCAATACAATGATATTACCTAGTACTCACCGTAAGCCCCTTTGTTTCTTTGTCAACAATCTCTTGGACATTCATATATGCCTCTTTTTGTGATGCAGCAGAAATAATTTGCTGTTCAGCATTGGCAGTCATTTCTGCTCGGAGTTCTAGAAGTGCTTTACTCAAAGCCTGAAAATAATTAATTCAATTTTTTTTATAAGTGAAGATGCTGCTACAAAACAAGTGTCTTGGTTTAACATAGCTTGGTTTTTAGTTAAAGAGAAAATCTGTCAGTTATGGAAGTGATTCTCTGAGAGGACTGCTAGCAGCTTTCTCCGGACTTTACAGAGCTAATTAGCTGGCTAGTTTTGAATATTGACACATTGTTAAACCACTAAGAAAGCTGGACACACCTCTGTGAATAGCACATTTGAGAACGAATAAAGCCTGTAAAAAGCTCTCTTGTTTCTGGCCTTTGAACAGGTAACTGGGCACTGTCCAGGCCAGCCCTGCACAGATTGCATGCCTGGGCCGGGCTCTGCTGTGGCGCTGGCCCCTTTCCAGGGAGCCCATGAGCTCCATCCCAGCGGAGCGGCTGGGGCTCCTTCCTAGTGGCACCGGGCCTTTTTTTGGCAGAGCCCAACGATCTCTTTTTTCCGGTGGCACAGCTGGGCCATCCCAAGGCCGGGAGCAACCATGCGGCCGGGACAGGCGCGGGGAGCGGCCTCGTGGCTGGCGCTGGAAGCAGCCCTGAGGCCGGGAGCGGCCACGGGGCCGGGACTGCTCGGCCGAAATCGCAGCGCCACGCGGCCACAGCTATCGTGGCATTGTTTGCAATGAACTTTGTTTGCTCAGCCGCTTTTAGCCAGCCATGCTGCGGAGAGAAGGACAAAAGTAGCGGCAGCGGCTTTTCTTTTTTTTTCGGCATCCTGCATGAAGAGAATACGCGGGGTGGCACCAGCAGCCGGCACAACTCGCATGGTGTCGGCAGAGGCCTCACAACCAACAGCGGCACGGCCAGCGACATCCTCAGTGCAGAGCCTGGATGAGATCAATCTTTTCAGAACTGCAGAACTCTGTAAAAACTGTTTCAGTTGATATAAATGGAGAACAAATGAACCTATGAACACCAATTCTCTCCTGAATGAGGAAAAAAGAAAGGGTGAAGACACATAAATAAAACAACATGGGACACTGAGGTCAGTGAAGAAGGAGTCAAAGTCTAGATGAGAAGAAATTGAGGAGATGCCCTGGTTTTGGGCTGAAATTCTTGTGAGGCTATGGTGAAGAGATAATTGATACATCAGACTCTTATTTCCCCCCTGTAACTCACAGAAAGCATTGGGGGGATGTAGTATTCTAACCACAGCCATGAACCCATGCTGAAGTAGCTTGAACAGAAAAAGATGAAAGAAATAAAGTACCTTGCCCCAGGGATAGAAGAAGAAAACTTCTGTTCCTAGAGATAAGAGAACTTTTGTTTCTGTATTAGAACAGATCATTCTTAAGATTGCACCCCAATAAGCTGAAATGGCCCATGGTGGTAGTTGTGGGATAGCTACCAAAACTGTGGGAGGGACTTTCACACTGCAAACAGATTTTCCTTTCCTGGGTGGCTGATTTGCTGTGACATTGAAGCCACGAGAGAACTGTTTCTTGTGAGAAGTCTCCACGGCATGGCAAGAGAGACTCTGCTCCCTAAGAGAACCAAAGAAAAACTATTTTTAAAGATGGTAAACTGACTGGGAGTTCCAGGTTTTGTCTTTTTATGTTGTCAGCAAGAAAAAAAAAAGGTGTGGGGGGAGGAGAAGTGTTCTGAAGGGTAATTCTGATTTCTTATTATTTTCTTTTAATTATGTTAATAAAGTTTTTAATACCCTTTAAAGTTTGAGTCTGCTTTGCTCCTCCTCCTAATCCTTATCTCACAGCAGAAAATGAGTAAATAATTCTATTATGTGCACTGGTATTTGGCCAGCACTAGACCCACTACAACAAGAAAAGGCATTTTTCTTTTACTTTGGCATGTTAGGTAGTTATATTGTACCTCCTGCTCAGCGATACAAAGAATTCTTAACCATTAGGAAAGATTTAGTATTCAAGTGACATAGAGATTAATTTTTATTGACTAACTTTGTGCTGGTTCTCTTTTATGGCTAACTGGCTCTTCAGCTGTTCCACCAGGTTTTTCAGTGTTGCTGTGGGTGCTCTATTATTTGCTTCTTTTTGGACCTCTAGTTCAGCTTTAACATTTGCTAATTCCTTCTCCTTCTCAGATAATATGTTCCTCAGTTCATTTGCTTCTTCTTTTATTTGTTCCACATCAAGTGTGTGCTTTTCTTGAAGCCTAATAAAAAAATAAGCATTAATAGGGTACAGTGTAATAATTAAGTTAGCAAACTCTAAATAAATCACAAAGGTCACAATATTTTATTTTTATTATTATTAAAGAAAAAGATACTTAGATTTGGAAACAGCAAAGAAAAACTGACTCAACAAAGGCAGCCCCCATATAGTAAGAGAATTACTCATGAAAGTCAGCAAAATTACATTATAGCATTGTTCATTTTCATTCCTGGCCCTTACAGGTAAAGAAATCATCATATTTTTTCCTTTTAAACATGGGTTAAACTTTCATGAGTTTAAACTTGCTCAGCAGTAAACCCAAATGGATGTGTCATGAAAAGAAAAATGACTGAACACAAGCCAGCAAGTAAATTAAAAACAATGTTCTTTTTCACTAAAAGGCACAAAGCTAACAACTAAACAGCATTTTTCCAAGCCACAGTATTAGCCCCAGTGAAGGACTACAGATTAAAAATAACTTACAATTTCCAACTGTACTAACACTTTTGAGATTTTTTTTCAGCTAGATCTTAAAGTAAGCAAAAACATGTTAAATTTGATAGATCAGTCCTGTAGCAGCAATACATAATTGACTTGAACCACTTCAATTGTGACTTATGTTAATAGTTTAAAAACTTACTGGGCTCTGATTATCTCAAACTCATTGATTTTCAATACAGTAATTTGTTTTTGTTTCTCCAAATCAGATGATGTTTTCTTTAATTTTCCAACAAGTGAAGCAAGAGAATGATCCTGTTCTGCTACGGTTTGCTCTAAGTGATGAAAATATTTGCTGTTGGAAAGGGACATAGAAGTCTTTTTCCCTAACTCCTGTAAAACACAACAAATGCAAGTGGTAAACATTTTCAACTTTAAGCAAAAGATAAGTATTACTGATGCATTTTTAACTCATTCCTAAATATAATCAAGCATTAATAACTACCATTTATTTACTGAGATGTGATTTTTAGTTTACAGAGAAACAGGTCAGGCTGCTTTGAAAAGAGCTTTGTACATCTAATGATCAACAGAATACAGCAGAATACCGGTTTCAAATTATCATAAAGTGCAGAGAGAAATTTTGAATTGAAATGGGTTAGCTTAATATACCCATACACTGAATGAGAAGAAGAGAAAGCAATATATAACCCATATATAACCGTCTCTGTTAGAATTCCCCATGAATTCGGATGATATGCGAAATGCCCATATATACTGATGTGGTAACTCTGGTTTTTTACACTTGACTTCTAATGCCTCTCATGTGAAATCTCTCAAAAACAATACAGCAGTTATATATTAATGATATATATATCATCAGTTATTACTCACTTTCGACTGCAAAACTGTTCTTTCCAGCAACAATGTAAAAAAATATAGGAACAACTTCACTAATTCTACAAATACACGACTCACCAAAGCAGTCTCTTTGAATTTATTAAGGGAATTGTCAGTGTACAAATCTAACTTCTGGTGTAGTACTCTTATGTCTTCCTCATGCTTCTTTGCTATTTCCTCTTGTTCCTGTTAGTTCAAAATAAAACTGGTGATGTACACTATCACAGAAAGTCATGAAACTGCAGTGCCTTCAAGTTGTTTGTTCACTCATTGCTCAATATTACTCCCCAGATTTTCCTCTAATTCTGTACGTTTTAAAAATTCTTTTGTTCTAGCTATAATCAAAGTTTTTCTTCATTTTTTTTTATGCTATTGGAGAAAAAAACATCAACTCTTGCAGTTTTAAGCTATGTGGCAAGTAGTATGGTGTAACAGCACAGAAGCTGGAGAACAAAACTTGGTGTTGGTCTTCACCAACTGTGCCTATCAGTATGGATAGTAATATCCATAACCAGGTACATTTCCAATTTATTTACTTTAGACTATAGTGTGATCCCATGGATGGAATGCTAGCACACAGAGCACAACAGGCTCATTTTGAAACTGCATCTTCTGGGCTTTTTTCCAAACAAAACCCCTTGATTTGTCCCAAAAGAAATAGCTACATGTGTTAACCAGAGCACACTAAATAAAGATGATAGAAAGTCTGCTTTGGAAATGTGCTTCGGATCCACGCTACAACTGATGGCACGTTTGGAATTGAAATACCTCTTTGACAAAATGTTTATGCTTTAAAATACACTTTATGGATATAAAGAAAAAACAATAAAAACTATGCTTAAATAATATTAAGTATGCTTAAACGCACTGTTTATGCTTTAAAAAATGCTTTAGCATAAAATATGCTTTAAGAATGTTATCCATAAGTGTATGTCTTTCTTGTACATTCCAAATTCACTACCAGATGGAATCTGCTGCAAATACTGAAAATCCCAAAGAAATATACAAAATATACCAAGACCATTTCAGCAGAATTTTAATTTTCTTCATGTCACACTACTTTAATTCGTAGATGGACATTATATTTATAACCTCTCGATTAAGCAAACCACTATTCTAAACAGCTAAAAAGTTCTATATGAATTTTCCACATATAATGTAATTCTCTCTGTTCTGTGTGAGATCAGAAACCTTTCTTTTTAGATTTCACTAGCAATTAGAAAACAAAGAATCAACTAAAACAACATGAAAATGGAAGAAATTTCAGAAAAAGAAGTTTAATTACCTCTCTTGCTTTAGCAAGCATATGTTGGTATCTTTTTAACACTTCCTCCTTTTGATTTAATCTGGCTTGCATATTTGCAATGGTTTGATGAGCAATTTTCATGGCATGATGGTACTCTGAGTCATCTTCTTGTTTGCTAAAGTCAGCCATTATTTTCTCTCCTGATATTGCAGGTAATCGAAGTCTTAATTCATTTATAACTTTGTCTCTTGATATAACGTTTTGTTCAGCTTTCCACAGAGCAGTCTCCTTTTCTTTTAATTTCTACAACAAAAGGCAATTTCTGCATTTCCAGAATTCAAACACTGCAAAAACATCTTACTTTTCAAGAAATGTAACAGAAAGATTTATCTAAATGTACATATAAATACAAAATACTTTTGACTGGGTTCTGTCTATATGGGATTGAAATGATGACAATGTCCCAGAATATCATAACTGTGTCTTCATGTATTTGCTTGGCACAAGACACTTAAACAATTCATTTTGTCCTACCAAATGAAGAAGCTGGTGTTTTACAAATTATTTAAGAACCACAAAGTATCTTCTGTAGCAGAGTAGCAATTTAACAACCCAAGATAAAAGTATTTTGTAGCACTTGCTAAATTTAACTAGGTATAGTCAACTGAATTTTGTACAGCAAGAGGCATCTTACCCTACTAAATGGATGAATAAAAACATTAGAAAACTCTCTTTTACGATTTGTTCCAATGGAAAAAATATTTCATTTTACTCATAGTTTGATTATATTAATTACATTTTCTGAGTATTAAATATGTCCAAATGACATTTTAAAAAGGGTATTTTTCATGGAATAAAAAAGTAAAAGAGTATGGAAACACAAACTTTGTCACTTTAAATTATAATTTATACATTTAATTACCTCCTCCAGTGATCCACAGGTTGCCCTAGTTTCCAGGATTGTTTGAATTTGTTCCTGAATCTTTCTTAAGGCCAACTCAAGTTGTTGTGGGATTGGCAAAGCAGGATCTGGAACAGAGCCTGTAGCCTCTTCTAACTGCACAGAAAGATTAATATTCCTGTAATCTGACAGCTCTTAAAAACATGCTTATATGTGTACTCTTAGTGTATATACCTTTAAAGCTGTGCTAAGTATTTCAGTTTGTTGATGATCATACTGGTCTAACTGGTGCTGCAGTTCTACTTCTCTCTGGTCCCAAGCCATTTCCCTTTCTTCATGAAACTGTAATAAATGTTTGATAGAAGTAGTTTATTTATTGAAGGCAATGGGAATTTTATAGACAACTTAACTGAAAAAACAGTTCCCAAAAAGTAAAACACTCAAACGATCTATTAAAAAGGATTAGAAAACCAAGATATAAACACCTGTGTTAAAAAGTTGTTAGAGAATCACTTAGTAAAATAAGGAACAGGATATTTTTTTCAATAGCATGCAGGAATACATACCTTGTTCTGCTGTACAATTTCTTCTTCCAGGTTGCTGATTGTACATTCATATTCAGAAATGATATTACGCAAATACTTCACCTCTTCCTTTTGCTTGACTAATTCTCGACTGAGTTTAAGTTCCTGCAGATGGAGTTCCTCCATTTTCATGTGCCATTCAATTACCTTGAAATGAATAATACACAGTATATTATGATTTACCATAGGCCAACTAGATGCGGCTTCCCTCTTTGGCTTTGAGGCAGGATGGAACTTCTCAAACTAACTGGAAAACGGATATTTTGCCTTTTTAAGCTTCTTCACTTTTCTTCAGTGAGGAAGCATGACAAGAGTATGAAACTGCAAGAGAATGACTGATAAGTGCAGCAGCCAACTGGAGAGGCAACAGGTTTCCCTTACACTGACAGAAGTGCATTGGAAACAATTTTCAAATGATCCAAGTTATACCTTATGTATCTGTCCAGACTGAACAAAAAAAAAAAATGCAAAAAGTTTAGTTTGTATTTTCTAAAAGAGCAAGAGAATTCAAAACCGTTAAAAACTGTAGTTATACAAAAAAATGCCCTTGTACTAAGAATAATAGACATGTCAAAACGCTCTAGAAAAACATTTGAAAACTGACTTAAAACTAAAACATACCCAAAGCATTATAACTATTGCTTACATGCAGACAACTGTGGTCACAACAGATATGATCATATCTTACAGTGATCTTGAAGAGAAGTGAGAAAGCCTTCTTAAGATTTCAGGGTGACTTTGCTTACATTTGCAAAATACTCTTAAGCAGAATTACATAAGCACAGCAATAGTTCTAATCATGCTGTCTAAATTACTGCCCCTGGATTTTTTTTTAAAAAGACATGGATGTGAAAAGATTTCAATGCAAGCTCATGGAACAAAACTTCAGAATAGTACTCTGTATTTAACTTAATTTAATTAATTATTTAATTCAATTAAAAATTTAATACAATTTAATATAATTGCATTTATAGTTAGAATTTAGTTCCTATGTGCCTTAATTGTACACAAAAGAAGATAATATATATAACTGCACTGACTTTTACAGAAAGCAAAGTATGATAGCTGTCATATTCTACAAGTTTATTTTGAAATCAGTAAGTTTTGCATTAAAACATATATTTAGAGAACAAACTGAGCTGAACTTTATTTAAATGCAGTTCAGATAAGCAAAGCTATTCAAAGCTATAAAATCACAAACCTTTTGAGCTCCTTTTGTATCCTTCAATGCACTTACTAATTCTTCTAAACTTTTCAGTTTCAACTCCAGCTCTAATGCTTTGTTTTCTGCATTTCGACGCTCCTGCTGGGCATGCTGAACTTCTTCCAGGATCTTCAGTTTGTCATTCTGTAGCTGAATCATTGTTTTAGAGAATTTTTCTTGTTGTGCTAAAGGCAGAGCACCACTAAACTGTCGCCGCAAAGACTGAACTGTCTGTTGTAGATGTTTGGCTCTATTTCTTCCTTCAAGTCGGGCAAAATATAAGGCTTGATCTCTCTCATCAAGTTTCCGCTCTAAACGTAGATTATGGATCTCCATCTTCTGTAGTTTCAATTTAAACTTCTCCAATTTGCCCACAGCAACAGACTCACTACCTTGAAGGGCTATGATATCTTGATGCAGTTTTGCAATAATTGCTTTTTCATCTGACTGTGCCTAAGAACATAATGGATAGAACAAATTTATTTTTCATTTTAACGCAGAATATGTTAACACAGTTTATATGTAAATATAAACAAACTACATTTTATATATATGAATTATATATTGCATGTATTTTATTCCACAGAGAAGAGTAAGAATCAGCCTCTAACAGGCTTTTAATTTTTCCACTATTTTTTCTACAGCCACGTTTTAGAAGTACACCTTTTCAGACACTGATCTTCAAAATAGACTCTTTCCAAAATACCAGAAACTGAGGAAAAAATGTATAAGTAAACTTAGAAGATATGGGAATGTAAAAGTTGACACAAGTGTTGGATTTAAGGTCTCAAACCTCTCTATAATGTGAAACCAAATTATTTTAGCTAATAACAAAACAAAATAGGAAACCTATTGCAAATCCTCAATATTTACAAGTAATTTCTTGCCTTGAAAAAATTGATCAGACTTTCCTCACCATCAGTTTTTCCTTGACCATGAGCTATTAAAGATACAGGAATGAATACTACGTAAACAACACAGAAGAAGGTCAGGACCTTTAATAGCTTCACAGCTAGAAATGAATAAGTGGAGAAGGGAAAAAATAATTTAATACAGAAATTTTGAAAAGGTATGGGCACTACAAGGACTAGCTTGCTGAGATTCTTCTGAAACACTTCTGCAGTTTTCAAATTCATTGCAAAATTATTTCATTTCCTCTCATTCCAGGGAAAAAAGAATCAGAACTGCAATTTTAATAAAGGCTGAATTTTACCTGATAATCTAAAATTTGCATTCTAAGATACTCCACTTCTTTATCTCTGTGTTGCTGGCGTGCCTCCAGAGCTTCAACTTGTTTTTGTGCTACATCAGACAGTTCTCTTAACCTTCCAGGAAAAACAAGAGTATTGTGTCACTTGGAACCACTGAATAACTTATTATGTTTTTCTACATAGAAGATACTAAGCAAAGATAGTTAATATGTTTCCTCATATCAAAACATTTGGACTTCACTCTTTTCAGCACACTCTACTGTTTAGAATTCTGGTTAAGAAAATTCTTCTGTATTGCCTCTCAACTTTATCACAGGACATTTTCCTATGTATTATACAGAAGTTTGCTAGCAGTAACCTACTTCCATAAAATAATGCCATGTTTTTTTTACCTAAGCATCTCTGTCCTCTCTCTCCTACTTCATGATATAAATACTCACTATTTTCTAAGTGCTCAAAATGTTTAATTCTCAATTCTCTTCTCTGCTTCTGCAAATCTAATAACTTATTTGTAGTGCCAAAATTCATTGCAAGTATCCCTATAGATTTTGCTGGTTTAGGCATATAACAGGATTACATTAATTACTTGAAGACTTGATCAACATATCTAAAAAGCTCAGTTTTCCAATTTATGCAAAGTTAATCTCTTCTACGCAAATGGAAAACCTCCCTCCTACTGTATCTTAATGTTTGAGATATGAGTCTTCCAAAGAAAAATCTGCTTTCCAATTAGTTCTATGAGATTTTCATACACAGAACGGGAGTTGTGGCACAGAAACAAAACCAACCCTAATTAGTGCAAAAATACTACTGTAAGTATCTAATTGCACAGTTACCCTATTTATCCAGGCCAGTACTTAATTCCTTGTTCAAATTAAAATGAAACAAATTGCATTCTTTATAGTCAGGAATTAAATGCTTCATTTTCAATGCCAAGTTTGACATGCATATATGCTCAAAAAAACGTGTATTGAAAATTGGATGTTAGTGATACACAAGTAGTGTATTATGTAAGACTAGTATGCCTGAATTATCACACATTTCTGAATATACAGGATTCAAAACTTATCACTTCAAAGACTTACTTTGATACTTCAATCTTGAGCTCCATCTCACGCTTCTCTAGGTCCATAATTTGTCGTCTATCTGCATCACTTACTGCCTTACTTACACTCTTTGACAGTTCATCTCTTAAATCTTGTTCCACTTTCTGTGCCTCAAGATTGATTTTGGTGAGCTTAAAAAAAATCAAAACCACAAATAAACAAACAAAGTGGTATCCTCAGCACATAGCCGCTCAAACTCTGCAATGAAATAGCAGCACCAAAAGTACTTTTCTTTTTCAGTCATTACAAAATACTGTTCAGCAGTGATGAGGTGGTGTTCAAAAGCCAGTTTTCCTTACTCTTTGATTAAACATCTTTTCATTTGCAGGATTCCATGCACATAGGAATGAGTACACAATTTGGCACTGAAAAGAATTCTAAACTAAACATAATTTTTATCAGTGAATTGTCTTAAAACAGTTACTGTAATAACTTGCTCTTAAACTAAAATGGAAAGTAAAAATAAATTTAAAAAAAAGACTGTAAACACTTTAGGGAATTAACAGTTTTGCAAATTTATGCACTGCCTTTTATAGCAGCATTGATAACACATAGAGGTTATAAATGCCAATACTGACAATAATGTTGTTCTTTTATTTTTTCTAAAACAACTTTCTTAATTGATATTCTTTCAAGGAGCCAAATTTTTCAAGTTGATTATCAAACACTGAGTAACCAATATTTCAACTCGAACCAAAAGACATTAAAAATAGATAATCTATCTTAATCCTAACACAGAGAAATCCCAGGATTTAATTAGTGCATACATTTGTGGCCCATTATTCTGATAACACTTCTTCTTAATAAAGTAACTGATTTCCTAAACAAACAAAAAGAGGTGCAGGGCATCCTGATGTATTTGGAAAACTAAAAGTAGAATGCTGAAGTTGATTTATGAGTTAAAACAATGTATAGTAGACTTCTAGCTATCAATTCTTACACTGGTATCACTTACAACTTTCATTAATTACATCCACACAACCTTGTTATCTCTTTCTCAAACAGAAAACCCAATTATTAGGATTGGCACTAGATTAGGAGGTACTGACAACAAGAGTATATGAAACAGAAAATCTATGTCCTGGAACTACAGAAATGGGGCAAAAAAGGGATACAGAGGTACTAGTAAGAAAGAATGGCATTAGGAGTTCATAAACTCAGAATGAAGGATGACCATCAGACCTAAAATAATAATAAACACAAAAGAGAATGTGAAAAATGTGATGCTAGGGTGCATCACCTAAAGCATTTCTTATAGAAATAAAAGAACCTATTCCATCAGAAAAGGCTTCAGCAATACTATATAATACTAATATAATACTATAATAATACTAATGCTGAAAAGCTTTACACACTTTCAGTTACTCCATCTCCCAGATTAAGTCAAATCAAAGCAATGTAACAAACATAACTAAAACAACAAAGAAACAGGGAGTCAAACCAGAACAATCTAAAATAGTTAGATTACACTCTAGCAAAGGACAAGGAGTGGAAATGAATACAACCTATCAGCATTCCTATCAATTATTATATTTCTGCCCTTGTACTAAAATTATAGACCAGCAATGTCACAAGAACAAATCTGTATAATTCCTAAAATTAAATTTATTGTAGAAACTATAATAAAGTCTCCTATTAATAAAAATAAATTTGTATAAGAAATCCAAATACAAATACTGTGGGCAAAACACTCTAACAAGTTTAAAACTGATAGGAATACTAAGATTCATCTGCTTCAATGGCACATGACTTCTATTTCTGTACTATAGACAATATGTGGCACAGGACATGGCCAGACTGTAACAGAATCATAACACTATCATTTGCACAAAGGATGTAAAGTTCTAACCTTTTTTTTTAAATAATTGGAAATGGAAAAATTAATAAGGAAATGAGATCATATGGATTAGACAAAAGAAATAACAAGTTTGGAAGAGACTGTTTTCTTTCAGTCTGCTGACAAAACTAGAAAACTATTTGTCAAGATGCTTATAATGTGCTTTACTATTAACTAACTTCTAAAATAAACTGGTGACGAATGAATTAGTTCTATTTTCATCAATATCTTGCATATGCAAAATTGCGGCTTTTAAAGACTGCAAACTATTTTTTGCATCTTAAGCTTATTTGTTGACACAAATTGGTATTATTGATATAAATAATTTTTGAAAAGCTCAAAAATATGCTTTTAAGATATATCTAATTAGGTTGTTAAATCTCAGCAGATTTACCTCAGCAAATTTTGTTTCCAATTCAAAATTACGTTCTTCTATTTGCTTTACAGTACTCCTTAAGTGTTCATACATTCGTTGTGAATGTTCTGCTCTCTGTCTTTCATTTAGCTCTTTCATTTCCAGCATAGTGATTTTCTTAGAAATGGACAAAATCTCACTGTTGGTTATTGCTTTTGTGGCTTTGTCCGTGGCATTTTCATCCCCTACAAGAAAAAAATACCTAAATTAAGAAATACACAAACTGATATAACTACAAAAATTATTTTCACCGTGAAACTGAACATGAGTTTTGCTTTATCTGTGTCAAGTAAACTTTATCACAAAATCTGTGCTTTTTTTTTTAAGCTGGAGGTATGGTTATCTTGCCTTACTACATGTATGAAAAGTATGTAATTTGAACAAAATACTGCTATCAATTATGAATGCACATATCTGCAACCATGGTTATTGAGACTGAAAACTACTTTCAATGTAGCCTTTCACCTTATGCTTAATACAGCTGGCAAATCTAAAGGAAATTTAATTTAAAATCTGTAAAAGAAATTGGATAAATGAGCTTTTCCCAAATAATGGGAATGAAATCTATACAAAGAAACCTCAGCTGTTAAGAAAGAATACTTTGTTACAAGGCATGAAACTAGCAAAAAAGAAATCACATTCTTGACAACCTCTGAAACATTATTACTGACAGTCAAGTTAGAACATAGTAAGAAAAAAAAATTCAGGTGACATTGCATTAAAGCTTTTAAACCCTAGACCCAGTAACCCAAGAAATTCAAAGTGGAGGAGTTTCAAGAGAAAAATACCAAATTTGGTTTTAGTCAAATAAAACATACAAACAAAAAAATTCATTCTTCTACAGTGTGAAGTTTTTCTTTCGTGATCTCCAGTTCCTTATTCAATGAATTTATCTGCTCTTTCAAGGATTCATTCTCACGCTATATGACAGAAAAGTTGCAATGTAACAGCAAACTATTTAATTGTAGCAGAATTCATGTTTAGTATCTACAGAACCTTTCAGATTAACAGACTTTACCTGTGTGTGACCCATAACCTACATATATGGCAACAGAAGAGTACATGTTTGTAAAGTGCATATGTTTTATAAGTGTTAAAATGTCAGTCTTTATCCACTGTACCTTACTGACACAGCTAGTAATGCTGTGAATATTTATTACCAGTGACTGTGAATCAGACAACATCTAGAATTAGATGAGAAAAAAATACTTGTTTGTCATACTAAGCACCTCGTTGACAGTGGAAAGAAATACTTCTGGAGGATTACTTCATCCCACAAAGAATACTTCATTTTGCACATAAATACCTATTTGAGACAGATCAGACATTTCTTTTAGTTCTTTTAGGTGTTCAGTATGATACCAAATATTACTTTTATAAATGTTCCTTCACTCCTCCAAACAGAAATACAAATTTACACATTAAACAAAAAACAAATTGAATACTTCATATTATTTTCAATTTTTAGTTTTCTGGACATGTTTTTAGTTGATAAATTATTCTCTAGCTCTATGAAGTTGCTGAAACAGGCAATGCAAGTTTTCATACGCTCAAAATTCCATACAATAGACATAGGACCCCTTCATTCTTTACCCCCATGAAAAGTGGGAGGTAGTAACATATCTTTGAAGCTAACTTCACACTTCTTGATAAGAAACTCCCTTTTACTTCAGAATAAAAGTTCACAGGAAGAGTTAAATATTTGCAGTGCCTACAATATTTTGCGAGCACATTATCAACAATCTTTGGCTTCTTTTATGGAAGTAAAATTCCAAAGCTTTACTCTTTTTGAAACATTTCATTCCTGTGAAAGCTAGGAATTAGTAAGGGCACATACTTTGAAAAAAAGTTTTGAAAGTGTTTACATTCTTTCTACTTTCCTTATGACCTCCAAAACTGAGGATGATAGTAAATACTCCTTCTGCCAGCCTTGTTTTAGTAATCCAAGAACTAAAAATAATCTCTGAGAGAACATATCCAAAGCTTAGTTTAAAGAACAAATACACAAAAAAAACAAAGAACCGAAATGAAATGGTTTTCTGTCTGCCCATTTTTTCCCTTAGGGTTAAAAAATAACACAGACATTACCTCCATGTGTTCCATGTTTGTTGTCCTTTGCACAAGCAAATTATCTTTTTGTAACATCTCTCTGTATTTAGCAGTTAATGCATTGTACTGCTTATTGGCCACTTCTAGCTCAGACAATGGCACACTATTGTCCAGCACTTTTTGCAGAGCTGCAATCTTAAAGCAAGCCATTTCCTATGAAAATAATCAGCACAATAGGTTACTAAAGTCAGCTAGAAATTTAAATATAAAATTACTCCACATAAAAAGAATACTTAATATAGTGCTTTAGATATTAGTTTATTTTTCTAAATTACTGTTCATCTTTAAAAATCACCTGCAATACACATTGACCAAACTCTGATATTCCAACTCTCTGGGTAATTTTATCAATAGTTGCCTCTCAAGATACTATCAAAACATATAAAATTGATGCAGGCCCTAGCAACCTGCAAGACCAAAAGGTAAGATTTGGCTTCTTACGATGATCGTAGAATCATAGAATGGTTTGGATTGGAAGGGCACCTTGAAGATCATCTAGTTCCAAACCACTGCCATGGGCAGGAACACCTTTCACTTGACCAGGTTGCTCAGACCCCCATCCAATCTGGCCTTGAATGCTTCCAGGGATAGGGCATCCAATTTCTCTGGGAAACCTCTGCCAGTGCCTCACCACCCTCATAGCTAAGATTTTCTTCCTAATATCTAGTCTAAATCTACTCTTTTTTGGTTTGAAGCCAGTCCCTCTTTAACCTGTCACCACATACTCTTGTCAAAAGTCTCTCTATTGCCTGTAGGCTCCCTCCAGATACTGGAAGGGCAGATTTAGGTCATCCCAGAGGTTTTCTCATTTCCAGTCTGAGTGATCCCAGTTCTCTCAGCCTTTCCTCATAGCAGTCACAGTGCTTTGGATGCAGCCCAGGACACGTTTGGTGTTCTGGGCTGGGAGTGCCCATGGCTGGCTCGTGTCCAGCCTCTCACCCACCTGCACCCCAAGTCCTTCTCCCAGGGCTGCTCTCCATCTACCTTGCACTTGGTCTTGTATAACCTCATGAGATTCCCACAGACCCATTTCTCCAGCTTGTCCAGGTCACAGTACTTGTATAAATACAGGAACTATTTCTACAAGATTTATAACAGCAATTAGCAAGCTTTTGGGAAATGCATTCAAGAAACTAGTAATAACTCCATTTAAAAACAAAGGGTGTTTCTTTCCAAACTGCAAAAATAAAAATGTGTGCTATTACTACTATAAACTTTACCTTGAATCGTTGCAAGTTTCCAATCTTCCCTGTAACTGCAGTCTCCATATGTGTTATTTCACCCTTTAGTTTCTCATTTTCTTTTCTGAGGTGCCGTTCCATTTCAAGTAAAGTGGTGCACTGCCTTGTTAGTGATTTTTCATTAACTCGTAAAACAGTTATTTTTCTATTATTTTCTGCAAGTACTTTCTTTGTTTCATCAGGATCCATCTGAAGTGCATCGAGTAAATTCTGTAAAACATTTTTTTAACAAGACCCTTGTACAAAAATATGGTAAAGCACAACTACATACACAAGATTTCTTGTATATTTTTTTAATGTAGGTGTAAAAATTCCATTAATTTGTCTGAAATAATTTCTTTTTGCTAATAAAATATAAACACACACTCAACATATGCTCAAACATAACATATTCTAAGAAAAAGATCGATCTTCAAAACCAGGAGCTAAGTACATTTGACTGACGAACTGGAATTTTAATTAATGCTGACACTTCCAAAATTTAGAACAAGAATGGTTCTCTGCACTCACTGTCATCAGTCTTCCCATTTATACTAGAATAAAAAAAATGTACTGGAACAATTTTCTAAACAAAATAGAAGTTCAAACAAACCCTAATAACGTCCTACTTTGAAGACCAAACCCCTACTTGTAAAGTAAGCACAGGATCCCTTCTATAGTAGCATTTATGTGGCTGTGTGCACACTCAGGTTTGTGTGTATGTGTATGTATGTGTAAATCCCAGGAGAGGCAGTGGTGGGGAGAGCAAACTACGGCAACTCAGGTCACACAAGTCATGTGAGCTTAGCTTTGCCATCACACACACCAGCTTGCCAAGGAGACAGGTAGTAGAAATTGGAGCTGCTAGAACTCAGCTGTCTAAACATCCACTTTCAACACCCTGTGCTATCCTTGCCCTGTGTCTGCTTCTCTAAAAGGACATGTGACTGCCATGCCTTTGGTTAGATTTTGCAAAGTCTGTAGCCCAAAGACAACCATAGCCATTTAAAATTGCACTATGTCTGTGATTAGACACCTGCATCAATTCCAGAAACTTCTAAATACTACCAACACTTTTCAGTTTTCTTAATGCAATATTGAATTCAAACTTGGTGGAAGTAAATCAAACCAGAAAGATTAATTCTGTTTCCTGTTTTTCTAAAACCCTGATTCATATACATTAGCAGTTATATATAATAAGATGCAACTGAAAGTAATAACCTTGATTCTTAGGGTTTTTTAATGTATTTTTCAAGGGCTTGTTTGCATGCACCCCCTCCCAGTCAAACAGCCTGGGTAACAACTGCTGTCCAGAGAGCAGTGTGAGTGTAAATAGTGTGTGTGAACAGAATACCAAAGACTGACTTAGAAGGCATTTGCTCGAAACTGATAATCTTAAAGAGAAAGATCACCATTAACCAGACTGAATAGTAACCATAAAATTAGAGACTTCAAATAAAGAAGTTGTCAGCTTGAAAACTGGCATAAAAAAAGCTTAAAAACTTCTAACAGTAGGGGCAGAAGGGGTTATAATGCAGCACTCATAACCTAGTTCAGCTTCAGAAGTTTCTCCACTGTCCCTGCATGCTCTGTGCGTCTGTGAGTGATTCTTCCCTGCTGGACACTACACCTCAGCACTCAAGATAATGGTCTGGAGGTACTAAGTGCAACAACTAGTGACCCACACCTCAGGTGTGTGATGTGACCTCTTGGGTGGTTTCTCCCCAGTGCATGGACTAGCAGACTGCAGGAAGGCCAACAGGCATACACAGTGTTGGAGCACCCCCATGCATACACAGCACCATGGCATGCACAAGAGGTGTGTGTACACAATATCCCTATCCAACAAACTAGAGTAATGTATTAAAACCTCTGTTCTATGTCCTAAAATCTTTTTCAAAAATGAAAGTAACAAAATTACTTACAGAATATGCCTTTATTTTCGTGGCATCCTGTTCTTTTTGCTCTTCTAGTTTTTTCATTTCCTCTTTAATATTTTCTGATTCTTTTTGCCAGCTTTCCTTTTGACTAAAACAGCAACAAATTTTCATTTATTATAATGAAAGACCTGATGATTTTTAAAACTAACTTCAACAGCAATTCTGAAATACTGCAAATCAAGGTACTTACTTTCGCCAGTAATATAATTTGAAAAGTACATGAAAAATTGTAGATGGATTACTGAAAAAAAAATCTCTGTTTAGACTACAGCTGGTTAAATTATGAAAATAATTCTTCAGTGTCTTATTTGTTCTTCAAATGTAGATTATAATGCAGATATATATATATATATATGCCTTACTTTCCTACTTTTTTTGCCTGCAACTCTTTCCTCCTATTACATTTCTTTTTATTTTAGATGCTTAAAGAACATAATTTCCACCCTTGCTTTGTTATTGCAGTGAAAAGCACACCCAAAACATAAAAAGATTCCACTTATTCAGCTTCACTTTGGCTCAAACTACTCTCCTGTATCCATTTTTATTTATTTGGGGAAAAAAAACAAACTATGATCTCTCATACACGTCTAATACGGAAGTTCCTATATACTATATGGCATAGTTTAGGGTAGTTTAAAAAATGCTTCATCAAGGATACTTTAGAAGGGGTATTTTCACTTCAAAGAGGTATCTAAGTTTCTTAAAGAATGGAGAAAAACTAGAACTAAAGTAAATTATTTGAAAGTGACTTTTTAATAGCATGCCAAGTCAAAGAATCTCCTCCTGTAACTTCAGTCTGTACCAGGTTTAGAGAAGGAGCCTTGAATCATCATTTTATTCCTGTCATTGGAGATATCTCACCTAGTAGTAAATGAGCATATTACAGTATATTACAGCCTTCTGTAATAAAAAGCTGTCTCTTTAATGCCTAAAAAAAAGAGACAACACTGTCTGGGATTCTTGAAGAACAAACAGAAGTTTCTGAAAAGTTAAACCCTTAGTCCAGAAACCATCCAGGTGACTGTTCATTCCAATCCAGAGAGTATTCAACTAACAGTTCATTAATTGAAATATATAAATCTCCATATTTATCCTCCCAACAGATGAAAACACTTTTTAAATTTTTTTGACCATACAAATAATTTTATAGCATATAAAGCATATAAAAGAACTAGGAGTCCAAAAGAAAACCAACCACAAAATCCCGACAATCTGAAATTTTTAGAGATCTACAGCTGTATTTGGACAGCAGTTTGCTTTTTTCCCTCCCCTCCTCTCCACTCCCAAAAACCTATTAGAACCCATACTTGAAAGCAAAAGAAAGGGAGGCTAAAGAGTCCATCATACCAGGTTGTAGTAAAATGCAAGATACCAGATGCAGAAAGCACAATGAAATCCTCATGATAAAATATGCAATATGAGAAGAATGCAGCAGAAGATGGTTTTGTAGTTTTCTGGATCTTTACTTTTAAAGAAAATGTATGGAGTCCATATCCAAACATGGCAGCACTTATGACATTAACCAAAGAACTACTTCAACACAGCAGAAAATCTTGTCTCAAGGCTGTTAAATATTTAGATAATTAAACTTTCATAACTCAGAAAAGAGAGCAATACCTTTGATATTCTTTATACAGCAAGCCTTGTTGATGACGAATTACTGCAAATTTTCGCTTGTAGTCCTCTACTGCATCTTCTAATTGTTTAAGTAACTTTTCTTTGTTCTCCAGTTCCTAATTATTGTTTTCCAAATAAAAAATAGAAATTATTAATGTAGGTTTTAAACATGAATCTAGCAATTTAATCAAAAATACTTTGTGTTTTCATGATAGATGCTTCTGCCATGAATTGTGTGAACTACAAATATGAAATATGCATTTTCTTTAGAAGCAACAGATGAAAAATATCCAATGAGCTTCAGCATCACATTAATTAGTGTGAAATTGAAAACAATTGTACGGCAGTTACAGTCCTCAAAGTTCAAAACACTATGACCTGCAGCTAGCCCACAAAGAATACTAACTGAATGTTTAACTGGCAAGTGTCATTTTCTTCCCATTTTCTCAAATACTCTCCTGCTTTATAAGCATACAGAGTTGAGAAAATATTCTCTAATGAAAAAAAGAAAAAAAAATTATCGAAGACAGAAAAATATTATTAAGAAGAAAAAGGTAACTTTTTTTTTACTCCAATTCTCAAATAGTTCTTCATTACTATATGCCTGTTTGCTATGCTTCCCATGGGAATCACTGGGATCTGTTTCAATGTATTTATGCCTGTATTTACAATTTTTTATGTATTTTTGACAAATAATGGAATGAAAATTAATATAGTAAATTAATAGAGACCTTGGCTCTATAGGAAAAAACTGTTCAAGTAGGATTTGCACATGCAGACTGAAGTGTGGAATCCAGACAGCAGTAAGAGAGAATTTCTCATAGAAAGTGTGCAACTGTGGAAGTAGAAGGAAGAGTGGGCAAATATTTAGATCAAAACTCAGATTTAAAACAAAAAAATCTGAATTACTGTCCAAAACTTAGCTTTCAGGCTTACAGCACAGCAAAATACTTACAACTTTAAATTACAGAATAACCCAAAGAGTTTAGTAGATGTTAGAACACCAAAATAATTTTGGAGAGATCTCTCATGTCCATACATGGCATACTACTGGATTTTAGAGGAATTATATACATGTTACAAATATTCTTTATTTCAAGGAATGCATTAGTTACCTGTGTAAGATGTATTAAATACTCATTCAGAGAATTAATTGTATTAACACTTGAAGGAGCCATTCCTTCTGGAAGATTCACTGTTTGGAAGACAATATTGGCACCTTCTGACTGATGTAGTAAGCAAATTTCATTTTTCATTTGTTCAATCTAAAGACAAGACACAAAACTATCATAATAAAGTAGCTCTTGCTATTAGATTAAAGAAAATGATGAAAAAATATATTTCTACATCACTCCTTATTAATAACCTAATTAATTTTCCCTTATAGTCTAAAACATTCTAATAATCCTTAAAATTACCTTTTTAAAATGCTATGATTTCATAAATCAATACATGCATAATAAATTCATCCAAATTTATCAAATTACCCCAGCAATCAAGGCAACTACACATATCATCACAGTTTTAAAACCCTGTGCATTCCTACTCTAGTAAGATTAAATTGTGGAAAGAATCATTGCAGTGGTTATTAGACAGGTTTTTCTAGACAAATCTTTGCCTTTTCATTTAATTTAAAAGCTCTCTGGTTTCTCTAACAGTATGTAAAACATTATTTTAGAGGATTAGTTTCTGACAAATCTTTTTGCATCACCAAAGCTGTCATAAAAGGTAAATTTAAACTTGGCTTCTTATAAGGTAATTTTATAAAGTATAATTTCATTCCTCAATCCTTCCCTGGAGGAACCATTCCACAGAATATATTTTACAACTTAAAACAAGATATAAGACTCATAATTTCAAACACTTAATTTCTGTTGCATATTTATAAATAAAAAATGTAAGACTCCTGGCTTTTTTTAGGAATAAGATCTGTAAGTTTTTTGGACACAGCTCTCCCCAGAAGATAGGCATGCTTGGTGTTTAACATGATGGAATATTGCAAGGATTAAGCAAAATCAAGAAGAATAAGATCTGAAGTTAAAAAGAACAAATGAGTAGGTCCATTACATAAATTTCAGTGAGATTTGTACAATGACACTATTCACATAAGCTAAATTCAGTGTCTTCTAGTTCGTGCTGATTGTTCTAAACTATCAGAACAGCTGCTTTTGAAGTAGGAAATAAATTTTATAAAATAAATTATATACCTTTTCATTGGCACTTGCCAGCTGATTAGACAAACTTGTTGCCTCCTTCTGAGTCTCTTTTAGCTCCTGTCTCAATTCTTCATTTCGTCCTGTAAGCTGGTCAACCTGGGCTTTCAAGTGCACGCTAGCATCAAAGATCCCCTCTGAATTCTTTGACTCCATTGCCTAATGCAGTAAACAGTTAATTAACATAACAAATAAAAAGTGTGGAAAACTTTAATTAATCTTAATTTTAATTTTTTTTAGAGTAAATTTGAGCCCTCAAGTTTAGACTACATGAAATTAGCAAAAACCATGACATTTTAACCCTGTAAATCCTATAAAGCTAAATAATAATTTAGAAAGCAAGCTTACATGAACTAAGCGTTCCAGACTAGGGATTATTAAGGCTGTTTCTCCTCCCTTCATGCTAGAATCATTTTGCATTTCCTTGATGGCTTGCAATATTTCTTTCATTCCTTGTTGAAGTTGTTTATTCTCTTCTGATAACTCTTTTACTGTAATAAAAGTTGTAAGTCTGTTAAAAAGCACTAGAAAAATGATTTAAGGTTTCCTAGGACATTTCATCATGATAACTGTTGATTTGATAAATTAAAAGAATGTTCATATTATACATACATAGCCATAATCAATTATGAAATTAAAATCAAGAGCTACTAGGAATATCTGAGAAGTGTATTTTTCTGATGAAATATCAAAAAAAGATAATTAAATGTTTCATGGGAATACAATTGACTTCACTGAACCTTCCAGTCTTCAATGTTTACCTCACTTTAAACTTCTTTAGTAGTCTGTCTGACTTTTACCAGTTCAGAAACATGGCTGTGATAGAAATGACTGGGTGTAACAATGAAGTATTTAGGAATTGCCTAAATTCCTTCTGCAGAATGAGAAAAAAGGAGCATTTAAATTATGTGGCTGTCCAGGACTCTCAAGACTCCTACTACCTGTAGCTTCGCAAAGAAATTCCAATTTCCAGCACAAAACAAGAAGTCTGAAAACTAAAGAAAAAAAAAAAGGCAACAAACCTATCAGCACATTCTCTGCTTTCAAACAATATGGCTAATCATCCTGAACAGCTGGGAGTGAACTGCAAAAACTTGAGTAGTTTCAAGTTTCAAGTGGTTTCAAGTCTATTTTGACAATTCAAAAGGAATTTTAAGAATTGTCATTCTCTGGGGGGAAAAAATTAAGCCTCTTGTCCCAAGAAATTAAAATTATATTTATTTCTGTGTTTTCAAGCAGTGCACTACAGCTAACATAGATACACATGCAAGCAGCAAGTGGCTCTAACTCCCCAACATTTCCTTTGAGCCAGAAAAGCCCGACAATTACACAAGTTGTATAATTGTTACAAGTGGGATTACTCACACCCTTAAAGCCTTTACTGTGTCTGAATCAAGAAGGAAAAACATGAGAGATAGTGTTGCAATGTTTTTAGTGAATAAACTATGCTTCATGTACATTCACTGGTTTGGTAACACTATAGATGTATATTTACACATATACACAAAGATATACACAAGAATTTTTTTTACAAATCAAGTTATTTATGATCACAATTATAGAAACAGAACAACTAAATAAGCAAACTATCTACAGGTATCTGACAATATTCCCTAGTTTTAAAACAGGTTGCAACTTACATTTAGATTGAAATTTGGCTATTACAGTCCTGTTCTTCTCCAAATCTCTCTCTCTCTCACGTAATTCAGTTGCAAGATATTCATTCTAAAGAAAAGGACAAAGTTTTTTCTAGACAAAAAATATGCAGAACCTAATTTTAGCAGTTTAATATTTTAGACCCAGACTTTTTCAAATTTGAAATATGCATTCACGAAAAATTCCCTGTCCACATATTGATTTCTTGCCTAAATAGGAACAGAAATAGATTCACTGTAATAGTTACATCAGGTATACCCCATATAACACTGTCCATGGAGAAATATATACTCTTGGGTCATGCAGCAGCTGGAATAGTGGTCTGGTACAAACTAGAAGTCTGGAAGGCTTTGTAAGTTGTAGCTCTAGTGATATGAAAACACCAAGAATTTCGAAATTACCCTTGTGTTTAACTAGTTGCCAATCTATCACATAGGCTTAGAACCTAAATGAACCAAAAAAGTACTTTTGTTTTTTTCCCAAGTAATTTGAATTCTCATGTATGCCAGAGGTTCTTCTAAATAGATTTCCCACAGCCTTTCTCTCTTCAGCTGTACTCTTTTCTCTACTTTTTACAGAATTTTCTCTGCCTTCAGAATTTCAGCTAGTGCTATTCTATCTATAAGTGTATTTCTGTATTCCAGATTATATGACTTGCTAGGATATATTTACAAAAATATAAAATATTCACTAGTTTTCTAAAAACCATTACAGAGTATTCATTTTGGGATTTTTTGAAATCAGTTAAAAAATGCTCCTAGATAAGTATTTTAACAAATATTTACAAAATAGGTGGTTTTAATTTATGAAAGAGAAATACAAGAAATGTTCATAAACTTGCTTTATGTACCTACCTTTGCTTCTACTTCAGCAATGTTATGTCTGCTCAAGAAATCCAACTTCCTGGTATTCTTTCCCTTTTCTTCAGTAAAGCTGTCAGTCAGTTGCATATTATCGGGGTCCAATCCTAAGTGCAAGTAGATGTACAAGTAATAAACTATCAGGAAATTGTAACTAGTCTCCAACCAAAAGAATACACCCCATTTATTATATCTGAGTTCTACTTTTCTACCTTTCCATCAGAGCATTATGGTACCCTGAGTGGCATGGAATTGAAATTTTAAGAATTTCAAACCATGAATTAAGTAGATTTACTGGAAACTTAGATCATCCTGCCCCTATTGCAAGGCAATGACAGAAGGCTTGGTGATGCAATACAGGTCATAACAACTCAAGAAGATACTGGGCTGTAAGATGAGGAAATCAAAAACCACTCACCTCTTCCTACAGACTGTGATTTATGAAAATGTATTTAGCCTTTTAATTTAAACAAACTATTAACTATAACATGGCTATACTAACTATAAACAGAATGTTTATGCTTACGTATAAACAGAAAGTTTTTTAAAGAATAATGTATATTAAAAACATCCTACCTATTGTTGCAACTCTTCCTCCTTTCTCCTGAGCCAACTTACGAAGGTGTTTTTTCAGTTCAATTCTTTCCTCTTCTAGTCTTTCAATCTGCATGTTATTACTCACAGATCAGATTTCCATTTTGTTCAAATGCATTTTTATTACGTAGCTCTTACACAAAAATAGGCTTTACCACCTACCTCTTGCAAAAGAATCTGGTTTTCAGCTCTATATTGCTGCTGCTTCAGTGCTTTGCTGTTTCTGAATTCATTTAAATCAATCATTGTCTTTGGCTCAAGACCTAAAAGGAAGTATATCACAGTTATTCTTTAAGGAGGAACATTAATGTTAATTAATGCAGTTAATGTATGTAAGAATATATCTATAGAAGTAGAGTTAAAAAAAAAAAACTTTGTTGATAGTTGAATATGATTCAACTATCTCTATATAACTATCTATAGAACATAAACACACATCTTATACTCCATGTATTAAGAGCAAATGAAAGCTTACTTTTACCTTAGTTACTCAAAACCCAGAATGCAATAAAGTGGCCCCTAAAATTAACTTTATTTGTTTAAATTCTTCTATTTAAAAATAAGCCTATCTGAACTTTTCTCTGTGTGCTTCATCTAGCATTACAATTTCAGGATGCTGTGGTTTCCAAACAGCCAATTATGAAGTTTATTAGGCAGTGTGTGATCAAAGAGGAATCAAAACCAAAAATAGAGTAGAGAACCTATTCTCCTACTTTTTTCAGTCAAAGGAACCTGTAAGACAAGTTCATTCATGCATTTTGTCCATATTAATAAAAAATACTTGGAAATACTAGCAGAATACTTTATAATATAAAGTATTTTCAATGACTTGATATAGTAAAAAATTTCCACTGTAGAATCCTATTTCAATTTTTACACAACAAATAATTGAAATGTACTGGATACAGCATACCTAAGCGCTCTCTGAGTTCTTCATTTTCATCAAGGAAGTCATTTATTTTAAGTTCAAGTTTATTGACTTCCTTAATTAATGACTCAATCTCATGTTCTCGTATTTTGACTTGCTTTCTTAAATCTTTGATTTCAGCAACAGCTTCTTCCAAACCATATATTCCCTGTAAAAATGCCACACAGGAAGTAAGAACAAAACAACCTATAGAAGACTTACTAAAATAGATCATGAATCTTTTTTTCATCATTACACAGACACGAAAAAATGTTTTCAACCTCTGTCACTCTTCTGCACTAAGCTTAGTGAAAAAAGTTACTGAACAAAAAGCAGACGCTATAAATCTGTCCTTGACTACAGAGGGGCCTGAATATTTCAAAAGTGAGTCCTCCAACTACATGATCCTTTGAAGAATCGTATCTTGAGAATTCAATTACTGTTCAATAGGGAAGGGAAGCAGGAAGTGGAAGGGCATCGAAGAAATTTATTTTATTTTTAATTAGAACAATTAAATATGGGAGGACAAAACACTCTCCAAAAAATATGATTAATACCCTCTCCACTCTGACAAACTGCTTACCAGCTCATAGTCTCTCATTCTTTTCAAAGTTTCAACAAGCTCTTTGTCTTTTTCTCTAGCATGTGCTTCTGCCAATTCTGCTGATTTCTCAGCCTCTGTAGTTCTCTCTTCTAGCATTTTTAACTTTTCTTGCATATCCCCAATTTGGTTCTGCTGAGCAAGAGATGAGTGACCTGGAAAGAAAAACCTTGATGTTTCCAATTCAACTAGGAATTCTTGCTATCTGCCATTAATCAAGACAGAAACACTTCAGAAAACATTATAAAGGAGATTTTAATTTCCTGCTCTTTTTAATTAGGAAATTACAAGACTCTACATATAAGAGGTTGGGTTTTCTTCCCCCCCAACATTTCCTTCAAAAAATATTTATCATAATTGAGTGCACAGAAGAGACATCAGAGTTTATTTAGAATTACATGCTATTCCTCTTTTTCAATTCTTGATGGAGCTGAGACCTTAAGTGTTATGCTCTAACAGACCAAGTGTAGTTTTATAACCCATAAAACCCAGAGGTAATTGGATAAATTTGAACTCTTCATGAATGCTCAATAAAAGAAAATTAAGAAAAAATATTAGAGACTGAAATTATTCAAATACTGCCATTTTTTTTCCTGTCTTTCTAAAAAAAGAAATAATGCACACTAAATTTGTGGTTTCTGATTTTCCTGATTTTGACATTAACACAAAATAGTCAAGTTACCTTCATCTTTTTGGAGATCATATTTTAATTTCTCAATAATGAATGCATTTTTCTCCATTTCTTTCGTATACTGTTCAACTTGCTCAGTGAGCAATCTTATCTGAGCATCTCGCTCTTGCACACCCTATACATACAAAAGAAACTCCATTAAAGGATCCTTCTTTACTGACAGGCAAACTACCAATACAGAATACTACATGGGAAGTGAAGAAATTACATGCAGCTAATACAAAACATTTTCTAGAACATTAAACATACTATACTTACAAAAGAGAGTTCAGATATTATCTAGAAGTTCGGTATATAAATGCAAAGCAGGAAAAATAAAAAAGAAAGGAAAAATAAAGCATTCAAACACATAAAAATAGGCAGTATTTTAGTATAATGGTTTTAAGTGGAAAGAGTACTCTCAGAGTTTGCCAGTATTAGCTGAAAAGTATCAGATGATACAGGTGTCTTGCAGCTTCCTCATGAACAATTGCCACTGGGAACTGAGAGACAGAAGCTCAAGATTGCAAGGACTAACAGTCCATCATACATGACACATGAAATGCAGACAACCTTTCACCAAGCCATCTAACTTCTAAAAATTTGTATCTTGTTTTGGATGCATATACTTTCATAGGTACACAAAGACTGGAAGTGACTTCTATGTATAATATCCTATTTCTGTACTTGTACATGAACTTTGGAAACAACATAGAAAGCTTTGCATAATTTTTTCTGTGATGAATAAAAAAGTGGTGAAAGATAAAAAAGAGACTTAAAAAAATTACAGACATTAATAATAATAAAATGTAAAATAATAATAATAATAATGTAAAAATCTCAATGTTTCAAAAAACAACTTTCAGGCTTTTTTACAAATATAACCACACTTGAAACCTGAAAGTACAGAGCTTGGCAAACCAGTAAAAACCTGGATATAACCCCTTAGAACATTAACATACATTGAAGGATAGCAAGCTGAGTTCATTTTGAGTAAAAACCTCAGCAGTAACTTGATTTATTGCTTAAAATGCACTCTTATTTCCACAAAACATTTCAATGCTAATGCCATGCTAATAATGTCCCCTCACTCCCACAGCTCCCCCATAAAAGCAACCTCTACAGCCATCTAATCAGCTAAAACCAAACAACTGCTTATCAAAGATACTTTCAGCTGCTTTCCTCTTCTGATAGCTAAGGCTGATTTGTACTTTAGGGTGTTTTTCTCTCGAGAATCTATCTGTCCTAGGTTTGGAAGACTGCATAACTATATCGGACCATACTGCTCAGTTTACAAGAACCCAAAATGTGACATAAATGTCATTACATATTTACTTAAAAAACTTGAAACAAGGCAGGAAATCATCCTAGAATCAGAAAGTATGCTCTCCATACAGACTATTTTAGGATTCCTAATGGATCACATTATTTTGGGGAGACGAGGAGAAGGTTATGTTTTTTAAGAAAGTGGAGACATTCAAAACCATGAAGAACTATGTAATTTTGCATGACTATGAGAGATATGCAAATTCAGCCAGCTCTATCATACAATGAACCACAGAGTTAACCAGATGAGATGAAAGAACACAGAAAATTAAGTACTAGGTAAGACTGTTTCTTAACAAACTTAGTGGACAGAAGCTAAACTGTATTTTAGAAACATTACATAATAGTTAGAAAAGATAAATATGGAAATAACAGAGCAGCTACCAAGAGTTCAGGACATACATACAGAGAAGTTTCCTTTGTACATTGTCTATTAAACTAACTTTGCAATGTAATGAATCGACCTGTCTCATAATTCTCAGAATTAAGTACTTCATATTTGCAAGCAATGAAAGAATAAATTTATATTTGGTCAATAGGATATTTAATTAATGGTGATTTCAATGTGTGCAATGTCTCACATGAACTGTACCTGCTGAAGGGACAGTATACTGTTTCTGTCTACATCAAGTTGGACCATTTTCATTTTCTCTTCCATGGTAAGTAACATTTGCTGATACTCTAGGAGTTCATCATCTTTTGAAGCTAAGATTTTCTGAAAAGAAGATAAAATACCATCAGAACACTTGAATAATTCCTAAAAAGGATTTTAAAAGCATTAAAAAATACCTTCCATTCTTCAACTTTTGCATTTACAGCTGCCATGAGTGGATCATCTTCCTCATTCTTTGCTTTCAGCTGGTCTGAAAGATCCTGAACCTAGACATGCCATTTGAATGAACATCACATTACAAAAAAGGTTTGGGCCTATGTACAAACACACTACATCAAGTACATAATATTTAACAGATTAGTATTACAACAGCAAGGGAATGACTTCTGAGAACTGTGCATGACTATCATTCTATACAAAACTTTTTGTGATCGACAGTCAAATTTTAAAATCTGTACCACATTCAAAGATCACACTATTTTTTAAAAGCATTATTTTAGAGGAGTGTGTGGTTTTAACCACATAGATAGAAAGTTTTAACTTAAGCTAAAATATGACTAGAAACCTAAAAAATATTTATACTAAATTATGAGTCATTTCTTACTTGAAATTTGTACCGATCTTTCTCTTTTCTTAACTCATCCATAAGAATATCAGACTGTTGCACAATCAGTTTCATTTTGCTATATTCGTCAGTCATCTTCTCCATTTCTTGCACTAGAAAGTGCCCATCTTAATAACTGAATAAGAAAGTCTTGAAAGTCTTACACAAAATTAGCACAGAATAGAGTATTTCCCCTCTAGGTTATCAATTTCAATAAATCCAAACAGCAAATAAGACGTATCTCTCTCTCTCTCAGCAACTTCATTACCTCTGCCAAACTCGTAGACACAGACTATATGTATGACAGAACAGTACCATACTATGAATTCTCTTACTCCGTCATGAAAGACACTACAGTCAGTAAAGCTCCCATAGCTACTCAATAGAATGTATAGATTTTCACCTGAATTTCATCCAAATACTGGACAAGCTCAGAGCTTCTTTTGGACAGCTGTGATGTGTAGTCAGAAACCTCCCCTCTTCGTGATTGAATTGCTTCCTTTTGAGAATCTATTTGCCTCTGATAGTCAACGACATCCTGACGCAATTGTTCATTCTGCACAAAAAGCAATCCAAACTTAAATCCACTTCTTAGAGTTGAAGACAAAGTTGTTGCACTTCTAGAGAGCTAACACAAAGAGCTAAGACATGTAAAACCCATCCAAATTCCTACAGTCTGCTTTTAAAAGTCATAGAAGCCTCACCTTTTTCTTTATGTGCTTTTTCTTCATATTAAAAAGGAGGAAACAAGACCAAGAGAACAAAGCGTGAAAAATATTAGAAATTAGCTTTGCTTTTGGAAGACTAAATATTAATCAATATAGCGACAAAATAAAATAGCGTTCATTATACCTCTGCATGTATATATATACATACACATATATATAGAAGGGTATTTTGACAAATGATTATCAAGGTTTTACCCCAGAAAAATAATTAGACAAATCTACTTGGCAATATTTAAGAAAAATAGTAAAAATTCAAAACCAAAAACCCAGGCCAAGCTAATGCATAGTAGGACTATTCAAATTGAAATATAAAGACTTCATAACCTCAATTAACTACATTTTATTGGAGCAGATGTACTACATATTTACTTTGCACTAGTAAATAGGAAATAATCCAAAATTAAAAATCACACCAAAAATTGCAAATACAGAAATATAGTAATGCATTTATAAAAAAAGTTGAAAATATAATAAATCAGCAATAATTTTTGCTAACCTCTCTCCTGAATCTGATGTTTTCATTTTCAGCATCTTCAATTCGAAGAGCAAGCTACAAGACAGAAAACATTTATATGCATCATTGACACCACAAAGAAACAAAAAAAAGAAAACAACCGCAGAGCAATCCTATTTCATCAGTTTTTTATTAATTTTTATATATATAATATATTATTTAATAATATTTTATATATTATAATCAATATTATATAGTATATATTTATATATGCTATAAATTTATTTTTATTTAATTTTTTTTTTAATTTCAGATTCAGATTTTTTTTTCAGAACATCAACTTTTCAAAATATTTGACAGAACAGCTTCTAGAGATGTCAAGCTCAAGCCCCTCTTACCTGTTCATTCACTTTCTTCTCCTTTTCCAACTCTCTTTCTGTGTCTGTTAACTGTCTCTCTTTTTGCTCCAATTGTTTTTCCAGTTGGCGGATCTCATCACGCAAAAAACGAGTATCACGACCACCAGCAGATTTTTGTGCCATCTTATGAACATAAAAATAACACTATAAATATAGCAGATATTCAAAGTAGAAAAAACTAAAAAAAAACAAAGCAGATACTAAGACTAAAATAAATGGGATTTTTCAAGTATATAAAAAAAACAAGTAATTATTCACCCAAGACTGCTGCCTATTCAAAAAACAATAAAAAGCATTTGCTAAAATGTAGGGCTATTTCATCACTTTAAAAGACTAAATACTAGTCTAAAATAAAATAATTAGAAGACCCCACCAGAGCACTTTATACACTAACAAAATTTTAAAACATACCTCTAATTCATTTTGAAGTTTCATCAGCTTGGTTTTAAAATTATTTTCTGTTAAATAGAATAGATGTAGTGAATTACCCAATAAGGTAAAAGACATGTAAAACAACAATGGTTAACCTAAGACTTTAAATATTTGCTTTCATCACAGCAGTTGACTTCAGAGCAGTTGGTATTTTGTCCAGTTCTCTAAACTTTAAAAAAGCCACAAAGCAGCATGAACAAAAACCTAAAAAACACATTTAACAAATCATTTAGGAACAACATAAAAAAGCTTGCTTACCACATTTGGCTTGCTCTTCCCCCGCTTTTTCAACTTCTTCAAGTGCCAGTTCTACCTCTTGAGTTTTCATCTGAGAAAAGAAGCATAGCAAAGAAGAAATATTTACTAATACCATAAATTAAAAGATTGTTCCATAGACAGCATGTTTAAAACATTTATTTTGGGAAATGTATTTGCATTTCCCATCTATATAACTATGTTATTCCAATTCACTTTCCACTATTAAATTCTAACAGCTACACAAGAAGGTACTCTGGTTCGAGCACACATTTAGCATATAAATTACCTTAGGAGTTAGCAGTACTTTCAGGAATGGGGGAAAAAAGAATAATTATGCTTCCATTTCAGCCAAAAAAAAACAAACAAAAAAACAAATGCATCTGCAGAACTGAAGAAAGTAAGCCTTAATACAAACCTTCAGTAGTGATTGAGTAATTTTAAAAAGGTGTATCATTTTTTCTGGAGTTTCATTTTTTAAGTCTTTCCCATCAACCTAACGAAAGAGACAAAAGTTGTTTTACACTAATATCAATGAAATCCACAAAATAAATCTTTCATGTATGTGAAGGATCAGAGACAGTTTAGGGAAGAAGATATAATAAAACCCCCCATGCTCTCTTTTTCCCAAGCACCTTGAACATGATATCCAGCAATCTGTCAGCTAGTTCCTCTTGACGAGGCAGAGTATCTGGATCAACTTTCATAAGCTTCTTCCAGTCTAAAACGGGTGCCATATTGCAAGTGTGACTTTTTTTTCCCTGGAACAAAGATTAAAATAACAGTTATCAGGTATTATCAGTACAAACCAATTTTAAGTCAATGATTTAATGGAGGCTGGCCACTGAACAACCAGATGATTCTAATAACTGTTACACTGATTAACAATCTATTCACATTTTGATCTATTGCAGACTAGGAGGCTATAATAAAACCATTTTTTCATTATGTTAAAATTACACCATGCATACTCAATGAGTTCTTAAAACTATCAGTGAAGATCAGGACACACATGAAATCTGTATTTTAACTTCAATATCCTCTTTTTCTTCTCCATCTCTTAATGGGGAAGAAATAAATATGCCAATGAACAAATGAACAATGAACAAACACAAAAATCATTTAACATTTAAAACACAACAAACACTTTCTTTAGTTGGATACTGTGAGCACCGACTTCTTGACATTCATTGTATTAAACATTGTTTCTTTTTGATCAGAATACTTGAATTGACAAAGGACATTAATCAACTTAGAAACTGAGAAAAATCCCATCAGAAAGTGGTGGAAAGTTTTCTTCTGCTGCTTACCTACTGGTTGCTGTGGGCCACAGTGATTTCTCACACACCTGAAAGTCAATGCAGTACCTGAAAAAGGCAGAAGGGATTTGAAATCTTGGATTATTCTATTCTTTGGAGCTGTCTCTAGACTTTCCAATCA